AGAATAACTGTGATTTAATGCATACTGCTCTTCCTTTCAAGCGAAGGGGCAGGTCAGCGCTCAGTATTCAGGCTGCTCTCGGCTTTAACAGAATTCAGTATTCTGAGAGTTTTTACTGACCCTGAGCAAATGTAAGGTTGCCAGGGAACACGATCCTTCCTACGGCAAGATGCTGCGTTAGGGTGATGAAAGATTAATCAGGGTTTACCAATACAGGATTACTGCTCAAACATGAAAATCAGGTTTTGGCCCTGTTATCAGCCAGCTCATACTTTACTGTGATCAGACAGAGGCCATCCTGTCTGTAACGAACAGCATCTCTCTTGCATATTAGTGTTTTGTTTTACCCCGTAGCGACAATAGGCACCAAGCATCCACAGGTAAAATTGCTGTAACATATGTGCATTCACAGAATTCTAAGACTGTGATGATGCCCTTTGCCTCAGGACCAGAAACAAACTGTTAAAGTAAAGAATAATGTTTCACATCACACACACAATCAGAACACTCAGCTGCCACCACACTCCATGAAATGGTCTTATTTCCTGAATCAGACTAAAAATGTATATAAGAACTTTCCGTTTCAGTTTCACCCCTTTATGATAAAACGTTAGGCAAATCCCACTATATCATGACATACAGAGTATATTCTTCTTTAATAAGTGGTTAACCTGTGCATAGAAGAAGGCAGATGTTAAATTAAATAAGTATATGGTTAAAGAAACTCCAGCAACATGGTTTTCTTGAAATACAGAGTGATGTTTCAGTGTACAAACATTTTCAAAACTCTGAATGAACCCTTACAACACCTATAACTGCAATCACCTGACAGGGAGAGCTCCCTTTAACCATGGAATATGAGTAAAAAAGAAAAATGATAAAGATGACAATTTTATTTGGTAAGAATCATAAACTACTTAAAGCGGCTCTGACAAAATTTTGAGTATTTCATAACGATATAATCGATATGAAATACTCATAGTGACTCTGTTGGAATGTCCTTTTTTCAGTCAACCGTTATTTAGCTAGGTAATAGGAAAAAAAAAAAAAGTAGGAACATACTTAGATTATTTTTAGGTTATGTCCACTTTTCTAATGTCCCATCCTGTATCTCATATCTCTATAAAAATAAGATTAAAGTCAAAACTAGTTTTATTAGTTTTATTAGTTAACAAAATAATAAAATCAATAATATAAAATAAAACACTAACATGTTTCCCCCACTACTAGGCTTTCTCTCAGGCCCGCAAAGACACTTTGAGAAAGCCTATTAGTGGGCAAAACGCGTTAGTGTGTTATTGGTGTTTTACACTATATTATTGATTTTATTATTTTGTTTACTAATAAAAATAATTGTACGTTATTTAGCCCTTGATTTTATATTAGAAGATTTTACATGGAGGATTCCATATTTCAGTTTCATAGGAAGATACCTAATGAGCTTTTAATAATTGAGCAAAACTTCACTTTGCTCTCCTTTTGTGAGTATACCTTATCCACATAGAGAGAACGATTTTCTGTTTTTATATTTATCTGCTGGTGTACCTTTGCTGCTGAAATACAACACACTAAAAGAAAACATCCCCAACAAGGTTAAACTGTCCACCGCTGACAGGCCTGAAGATATCTCCTAACAGGAGGACTAGGACCTATACCCGCATATCCATAGACAGGAATCATATCATCCAAGCGAATACATCTGGAGCTGAACTCAATTTGATTTGAAGACATTACTGGAGGCGCTGCTTCCATATATCACCTTTTCACATTTATCTACAGCCAGAACGAAGAGACTCTGGTTTGGGAAGTCTGAGCAGCCATTGCACAAGCGCAAGAAATCCATTTTTTTTCTATCCATGGATTTAAAGTTGGGCTACTCATCCTATCCCATCTGTATACTCCTTGTCACTTACCTATATTTTTTATGTTGATTATCTTTTCTTCCTTGTGCACAGTCACAATATCTGTGCGCAGCCATTTTGTTCTCATCTACACATGTCATCTGCTATTTGCCTTTCTGTGGGGTTCCTTTTACTAATGGATTGTGGGTAAATTTGACTAGCAACTCAACCAGAATCTTGCTTAAAGAGAAACACCTGGCACCAATGCAACCTTAATGCATTTGATTTTGTTCTGGCCTTATTAAGATGCAATATTAGTCAATATGCACACAGTGCTGTGTACATACACTGATAAGGAAGAATTTCTGGCATGAGGGGCATAACCAAGGAGGAAGGCTTATGGTGCAACATATATGGTACAAAACAATGTTTCCTCTCTAGTCGGTCCTCTCACACTTCACCCCTTTGTCAGTCCTTACATTGGCTTCTTGTATTCTATAGGAGTCAATTCAAAATGCTAACCCATACCTATAAAGCATTGACCAATTCTAGCCCCTCTTAAATCTCATCACAGATCCATAGGTATGCTTCTTCACGGTCTCTCCGCTCTGCCCGTGACCTTCTCCTGTCCGCTGCTCGAACCCGTACGGCAAACTCACGCTTGCAGGACCTCTTGCGGGCGGCTCCCTTCCTATGGAACAGCCTGGCTGCCGCCATCAGATCCTCCCCTAGTCTTCAGTCGTTTAAGAAGTGCCTTAAAACCCATTTTTTTAGGAAAGCTTATGGCCTCCCAAACTAACTTCTACCTCACATATCTGTATCTTGCTCTCTCCTGAAGGGCAGCACTTTACTCTCTCCTCCAGCACTGCTTCACTCCCACCCTATTTGATTGCTATTCCCTGTCCTATTGCGTTTTACACCCCACCTCCTATAGACTGTAAGCTTGTTTGAGAAGGGTCCTCTTCAGCCTATCGTTCCTGTAAGTTTTCTGGTAACTGTCCTATTTATAGCAAAATCCCCCCTCTCAGAATATTGTAAAGCGCTACGGAATCTGTTGGGGCTATGTAAATGGCAATAATAATAATAATGTGTTTTTTTGTTTGTAAAATAATGAATAAGGCCTTAAATTCTTTAGAAGTGTTTTGCTGCCCATATATCGGTCCAGTGCCAAATTCTGTCAACTTGACTGCGATATATAAAGAAAAACTGTTCCTAATTTTCCTTAAGTATTTTAAGAAAACTCGAGTGCTCAGGTTTAAAAAAAAAAAAAAAAAGATTCTGATACAGAGAGCTATAAAGAAGCAAATAAAATCTAGTTTATTTTTGGTGACAGAGCCAATTTAAATTTGTGTTTTGTAGTGAGAGGTATTTAGCCAGGAAATCAAGTCTGTCCTTTATATACTACAATCATAACCTGAAAAGGAACATGATTATGCATATTCGGATAGCTTAAAGCAATCAGCATTACAATTGCCTATATCGTGCCATTTGATTGCATTCTCCTATTACTTGGTCTTGTCTAATCTTGTATATTATTGTATTGACAACAGGGAAATGGTCCGTGCAAGGACAGGAAAATGTGTAATTATGCCTACCTTTAAAAAGTGAAAACCAACAATATTTTCTGCTTAATGATTTGGCACTAATCCTCAAAATGGGCATGTCATCAGGATACATTATATACATTATAAACCGATCACTGTACTACACATTCAGCATGAAAGAACGATGGAAACTATGTAAGGAAAAAGAGGAAAAGAAAAAACACAACACAACACAGAAAATGTAAATTACTGCAGGGTCAGTAATGGTTTTGGATGCAGTACACATTCATGGCATCTTAGAGGGAGATTGCCACACACAGATCATACTTTGAGCAAATTATTACTATTAGTAGTAGTAATATTTATACAGCATCAACATATTCCACAGCACTTTTCAAATAGAGAAAGGGGTGAGGAAATCCTTGCTCAAAAGAGCTTACAATCTGTTGTAGGCGGAAATATATCATTAGGTGTCTTGCCTAATGACAGTTACAGATAAGGGGATCGGACCAGCATTTGATCAGATTTCCAGGTTCTAAGGCAGTGATGTTACCACTGTTCTAACCAGCCGATATAAATAGAACTCTGGCATACCTTAAAAGACACAGTACAGAAAGCACATAGTAAATGTATACAAAGTATTAAACAATAAATACAATAATAAATAATGTAACCCTACAACTTCCTATTCCTGTCTGCGTATGTCTATGTTTTGCCATCCATGTAAATGACATCATCTCTCCAATCGAGATGAAGGCTGGGTAAACATACCCTTTGTGCTGTGATACAGCATTGATCTGGTGGATTCCTTCTCTAGATGGAGGTACGCTGCTGATGGTGCAGCCATGACTTACTCCATGAGTAAGGTAATGTGCAATCTAAATCCAGAACTGGGGGTAGAATTAAAACAAACTCATGCTACAAACCTACAGACAATCAACACGCGAGTCACTGACGCAGTACACAAAGATACTGAAAAAGATAATGCTACACAAGCATTTTATGGACCTCTTCTTGTTTTAAGCTAAATTACATTAGAAATGTCTGCATTTGCTTCAAATCTACAGACTGTACAGCTTCTGCATGGAGCTTAAATCAAACCAGAATTGTCTCAGGAATACACAATTCTCATTTCAATTTCAACAAGATCTGCTGAATTTATGTTATAATTATTACTTTATGAGCACAGCAAGAGTGTTTGTCAACTCTAGTTCTGTTTTTAAAACGTTCTACTATAAAAAGCTTATCAGCTAAACTAAGTTTCCCAAAAACCCTGACATGAAGTTTATAAAAAAGTGTTAACATAATCTGTAGCACTGTGCAAGAAGAAAAACACACAGTCAATAATTTAAACCAGGTTTATACATACTGTAACCAAATAATTAAAGACAGTTATGTCCTATGACAATAAATTAATTACATTTTCACAGTAGCATGAAGACATGTAACCCCGACATTCAATTTTAAATTCCATTTAGACAACTGTAGCTGGGCTCTGCAGTAGTTTTACCAGAATATTAAATATAAAATACGTTATCGCTTTCATCAAAAAGACAAATATGCACCCACCCAATTTACATATTTTAACGGTCAAGAAGATTTTCCAAGCTGCAAATTATGAGCACTCCTCTCCCACCAGTGCTCTTAACTCCAATAAACTGGATTTACAATTGCCGCAGGTACTTACATCTGGAATAAAGCCAATCTCGTTGAGATGGTTGCTCAGTTCAGGGTCATGAAATGCAATCATCTGAGAGAACACGGTCAGATACTCTGAAATAACAGCAACATTGCAGACAGTTATGATCAAAGAGGAATAAACACTTTGGTTCTTCTGGCGTATTCTGGCAGTGTAAGCCGGCATTATGTATATAGTGGAAACTGCATTTAGGGCTTCATGAACATTTTATAATGGGAATCTATCATCACAATTCTATATAATCAGATCCCGATTTTAACATACCCCTGTGTGGCCTGTACCATTTGCATAACATTCAATGTTTTATACGGCTCTGTTCCTGGTTGCAAGTATGAATGAGCCTTCTATTTTATTTTTACAACTCTTAAATACACAACTCTGCAGGATTACTTTACAGCTCAGAAACACACTAACCATGTGCAAATTAGTTTACATGTTATGTTGAGAATAACATTTTATTCATGTATTCCATAATACAAAACTACACAAGGTAGAAAAATATAATAATCAAATGTAGGAAATTGCAACATTAATTAGCCATTTAGTAAATCGATACAATATAGTAAGAAGTGTGCATGATTATCAAAAGAAGGGTATCATGGAATCAATGGTTAGTCAGTGGGTAGAAAGGGGAGGGTGACAGGATGGTAGGGAACCCGAATAGAAAAAAAAAATGGTTGGTGTGGAGAGAGAGATGACACACGAGTCTGATCATCAGATGGTTACAGGGAGAGTAGGGGTATATCAGTTAGCACTGAAAGTGTTGAACTCAAAATGGGGAGTCTAGAAATCTAAGTTAGCAAAACCATAATTTGGTATACTGTAGGTAAAGTTAAAATTGCCCAATAAAAGCATACCATTTGTTAAAGTAGACATCACGGGATATGCCATATGGTATATTTTGAGACGTATACATTAATTTTAGCATTAATTTCATTCAAAGTTTATGGTATTTTATCTTTAAATTTTCATACATGCACATAAATTAGCAGTATATTTTGTAAACTTGATAATGATGCTACTGTAATAAAAATCACTAAATTGTGCTCAACTATATATCTCTGGACTACAGAATGACGTATACATTTATCAAGGTTTTGCTTTTTAAATTACAGAGCTGAATTTATAATCTGTCCATTGCAAGTTTTTTGGTTGTGATTTAAATGGCAAATTGAAGATGGGTTTATGGTGCATAAATTAATTCCATTTGCAAAAGTGGACACCATGGGCACTACCACAAGGTATATTTCTAGCTTTATTGAGGTGCCCTTTTTTCACATTTGTTTTCAAAGTTTGTGGTATTAATTTTTATTTTTACATTTTTACATACACATTGTATTTTTCTTTGCTTATTTTTATTTATTTTTTGTATCCCACTGTAATAAAATGTTAATCTTAACTATACCCAGCAACATCTTCTGAGTACAACGATACTCCACTTGTATACCTTTGCAAAGTAACAATCCTAATCCTAGTCTAAATCCTTAACCAAACTCTAATTCTAAATCAAATCCTAATCCCAAATTTACCCAATATCTACTCATAAACTTTACCCAAATCCTAACCCATAACCTAATCCTATACCTAACCCGAAGTATTACCTTAATCCTAACCATAGTAACAGGGTTAGAAGTATTCCCCCTGCTGATTTTATATATTTATTATTTTTATTGTGCATATTTGATTTTAACACATAAGCTTGTGGTGCCCCGAAAGCAGTCTTCAAGCGCATTACTTCATACAACATTAGGAGCATTGATAAAACGTGCACATTTTTTCTCTTAAGTGAGTGAGTAAATTCATGAGGCTTAAGTGTCATGATGTCTAAAGAAGAGTGGTCACATGTTTTACGTTAGCTCATAGTTGAGCAGTAACATGTCAGTGAGTTTGCACAAGCAATGTGTCAGAGGGTGATCGCAACATGTCAGAGTATTGTGCGTTTAACCCCTTAAGGACCAAACTTCTGGAATAAAAGGGAATCGTGACATGTCACACATGTCATGTGTCCTTAAGGGGTTTATACATAAATACAGGAAATTCAAATTGCAGGTAAACGTCGAATAGCAGACTTGCTACATACTTTATGCATGTATGTAATGCATTGTAGGTTCAATCTTGCATATTATAAACCCAAACATGTGTAGGAGCCTAAGCCTGTTTTAAGTTATAGAGTAATGTAGGAGTAGCAACTAGGTTAGATAGGTAAGTAGTGAGTATGCCTCTGGGGACCCGCAACACAGGGAGACAAAGGTTAATGCTAAAGGCACATCTACATAGTAGCTGATCTGGGTTACCCCTCTGCCCCCTCCCTCCATCGGCTTGGCTAAGCGTGATAGGTAAGGCGTCCCAGTATAATGGTAAACCCAGCTAGTTCGGCTCTGCCTGTCTCAGCACAAGTTCGTTTCTGGCATCCTCCGATCGAGCTCAATCTGGAGTCGGCATTAGAATCCGCAGGTGTGTCCATCCAGGTGTCTGGCAGTGATGTGAGGTTTAGGTGAGTGGTCGTTGGAGAGTCTGTGCTGGGATGCGGGTGTGTGATGCAGATAGTATGTCTTCAACTGTTGGTCTTTCTGCTCCTTGGAGCCCGTGAGTGAGGACAAAGGTCCTTCCACAGCCTCTTTAGGGATTCCTCTTGCAGGCTGCTCAGAGCTGGCTTTCTCGTGGTGGCATAGGTGGCGGCCATTTTAGCTTCAGGAGATTAAATTGTAGCGTTCCCTTTCCCGCTGCCGAGGGCCCTCCAGTGGGGACCGGGATAACCCCCACTGGTACATGGGGCGGGGGAACGGGACCAGGACTACATCAGAGAGCCGGTGTGTGATAGCCGGGGGAGAAAGCAGGATGGTGGCCGTTCACCCCGCCTCTTCCTCGATTAGGCCGCAGACACCAAAGTCTTTTTTCACCCTCCCGGGCTCCAAAAACTCCCGATCTCGGGGTCTGCTGCAGCACCAACAGCCAAGTAGTGTTTTTGTTGTTATTTTGGATTCAGTTAAGCTTAGTAGCCGCATTTGTTCAGCTTATGGGGCTGATTCCCTCAGGAGCTTCTCCAGCATGCGACCGGTCAGCATGGCGGTCCAGCCCCACCCCCCCCCTGCTGATTTTAGCAAAGGCATTCCCTTGCTGAGTTTAGCAGAGGGATTGCCTTGCTGACTCTAATCCTAATCTGAAACATAATCCTAATACCACAATTAATTCTAAACACAATCTCAAACATAAAAGTATTTTAAAACCTAACATGTATAATTCTAAACTGAATCGTAATCATTAATTCAATCTATATTTTAAATATTTCCATCTGCTTATTATCAGCACTGATATTAGTAAAGGGATTCTAAGATCAAACAGAGAGCGTTACGTTGTTGCCTTTCTACACTCATAGTGGAGTTAACCTGCCGCATATATAATTCATTGTACATGATGTGGAAATGCATACACCAGTCTATGTAAGATCTCACAGCTGTGAAAGCATATTATGAGGTAAAAGGAACAGCCTGCATAGGTTAGAGATAGGACTGTTTCAAGTTACAGAACAGGGGAAGGCTACAAAAAAAAAAAATATTCTGCATTACTGGTTCACAAGAGAACAGCAACCTCCACAATTCTTACATGGAAGAAGTTAGGACACTTCCAAGAGCTGGCCGTCTAGCTAAACTGAGCAATCGGGTGAGTAGAGCTATAATCAAACAGGTGACAAAGAACCTGAGGGTGACTCTAAGTGTGCTTCACATATCATGTGTGGAGATAAAAGAAACATGCGGAAAGACAACCATCACTGCAACATTCCAAGAATATGGCCTTTATGACAAACTGGAAGCCTCTCCTCACTGAATGACACATGAAAACCGGCTTGGGATTTGCAAAAAAGCACATAAAGAACTCTCAGACTGTGAAAAACAATAGTCCCTGGTCTTATGACACGAAGACTGAACTGTTTAGCCTTAATTCAAAGCGCCATGTCTGGAGGAAAACAGGCACTGCTCATCATCTGCACATTACCATTGTAGCATCATGCTTGGGGGTGTTTTTCAGCGAGTGAGACTGGTCAGAGTTAAAGGGGAAAAAAATACAGAGATATCTTTAATTAAAACCTGTTTCAGAGTGCTTAGGACATCAGACTGATCACGGATTCATTTTCCTACAGAACAATGCGCAACTCTAAGCGCACAGCCAAGACAACACATGGCCGTTCCAGTGCCAGACTTGAACCCAATCGAACATCTCTGGAGAAACCTAAAAATAGCTGTCCACTGACAGTCCCTATGCAAACTACCAGAGCTTGAGAGGATCTGTAGAGATGAAAGGCTGAAACTGCTCAAATCCAGGTGTGCAAAGCTTGTCACATCATATCCAAAAGGACCCGAGGCTGTTATTGCTACCAAAGGTGCTTCCACTCAGTACTGAGTTAATGGTCTGAATACTGATGTTGATGTGATATTTCCATTTTTTGTTTGCAATGGTGTAAAATAAAAATATATTTATTTTTGCTTTGCCATTATGGGGTTTATCAGTATAGATTGTAGTAAAATAAAATACTAACCATAACAATTGTATCATAAGGTTGCAACATTACATTTTATTTTTTTTTTTAAATACATTTCTGAATGCACTGTATATTTTCAGATATCCTAAAATCATTAAGGAGGAGGAGGGCACACTCACAGGACTAACGTTTCTATTATATAAAATATCCAGGCAAAAAGTCTAATTTATTATACTTAATCTTATTTCCATGCGTATATGCCATTTGCCTTACACATTGATACAGTTTGGCTGGAAGGCTGTACATGTAGATTCTAGAAGCGGAATATGTCTCAGTCTTTTCTTATTGTCTCATTCTTTGTAAAGAAAGCATTCTCCTCTTGCTTATTCTGTAAAAAGGAAATTGTTCTGCATTGTGTACTTATGAGACAATTAGCAGCCTGGGTCTGAAATAAATGATAGTTCTTAGCAACCTCTGTCAGAGGAGGACTATTAACGGGCACTTAGGACATGCTACGCTTTGGCAGTGCAGTAATAACAGTCTGCACATGGATTTACATTAGCCCAATGAACAGTGAAAAGTTATTGCTTAAACCCCAGGCTTAATTACTGCAATTAGAACTACCAGACTGGCCCTTTATATAAACCTCAAGATGGGTTCTTGAGGCTTATAGAAATGTACACAAGCAGAATCTAAGACACAACATAATTATGCTCTGTGTGCGTCTGTGTGCATTGCTTCTGTGTTATAAGCATGTTAAATGTGAAATCAATATGGCAGAAATTATTCACATATGACTTCACCGAATTTTCCAATCTAACCATGTTCTATAAGTATGTTAAAAGACAACAATCATCATATTTTTACTTATCATTTGTTTAAATAAGTTTATTGCATTTAATGAAACTTAATTACTTTTCTTTGATAAATGATTTACATTGATTTTTTGTGGGGGGGAGAAATGTCACTTGTTTAATCTTATTGAGCAGCCATGTTGAGTCAGATTATATTGTTATTTTAACAAACTGCTGCTGGATAAAGTCATACTGGCAGAGACATTTGATAAACACAACTAAATCGTAAGTGCTAGCCCTCTGGGAATGACTGTAAGCTCCTACCAAACAACAGTGGTTATCCAGGATACAGAAAATGAAGGCATATGAAGCATTGCTTGGTACTAATTCTGGCAATGAGGCAAAACACTCTGAGGTACCTATGGAACTCGTCTGAGAGGGTAGTGAATGCATGGAATAGCCTTCCAGCTGAAGTGGTGGAGGTTAACACAGTGAAGGAGTTTAAGCATGCGTGGGATAGGCATAAGGCTATCCTAACTATAAGATAAGGCCAGGGACTAATGAAAGTATTTAGAAAATTGGGCAGACTAGATGGGCCGAATAGTTCTTATCTGCCGTCACATTCTATGTTTCTATGTTAAATTCCAAACACAGAGGTGGTTAGTGGTGGAGGGTTATTTCTATGGGGGTATATTCAGACCAGGGGTGGATCTCATAAGCCTCCATTCTCTTGGGGGAGAATCTGGTGGACAGGAGAGAGGTGTAAGATGTAGTACATTACCGGTACTTTCTTTTCTCTCTAACACTCGCTTATTAGATGCATAGAGAGCTGATTGGCCTCATATCAGGGGGGAGCTAGATAGGCCCTAAGGGCACAGTGTGTATGAATATTCTCATAGCTTATTTCTCCCTACATGAAAATAGTCCAAGTACTGAGCAATACGGATGAGAGTTATGAGATAATGTCAGAGTGTTGAGATTTTGTATTTTATCTTACTCTCCTTCTTTTGGACACCTATTAGATTTTATAAGGCCTGGACTAGAATATTTGAGGACTGTGGATAATGTCTACCTGATAATCACATTTCTCTTAACTCGCTTTTTCATGTAATTATTTAGAATGTTTTTTCTGGCTTTTTTCTATGTCAAATGCAAAATCCTAAAAGAAACACTGTCAAAAAAAAGAACTTTAAAAGCAAGCAACTCATATAAATAAAGGACCACTAAAGGCACCCAGACATCACATTGCAATGAAATTTATCCAGATTGCACAATTTGAGAGAAAGTGCTGATTTAGAAAAGACAAATCACCATTACTTACTGTTTTGAGATTAGTCCCCCGAAGCATATTTCAAGAGTTAAAAATATATATTTACCTCGTGTCTGATGACTGATGAAACAAATGAAATGACCGTAAATAGGAACTGTCACATGTCATTCATTCATTTACATAATTTTGTTGTGTTTTATCAATTAGTCAATTAACAAGCGGGAAAAGGTGAAAATAAAATCAAATTATCTACTTGCTGACTAAACCGGTTGAACAGAACCCAATTTTCACTAATTAATGTTAACATGATTTCACTTGTTTTGCAATCAACTTATTTTCCAACAAATATTCCAAAATCCCCTTTGTTCCAATTGCATTTGTCAACACATGAGATAAGGACACAATGTGTCTTTCAAGCTTGATGCAACTTTGTTTTGTTTTGCGTATAATACTTAACATTTAACACAGGGGAATAAACATTCTCAGTGTTATTTCTGAACAGCTTATGTGACTGAGCAACCACAGCCGTAAAGTTGTTGCGTTTATTGACTCTCCCGATTATCCTTATGAAGCCCTCAGTATTGAATGGCCTTTCGTAGCAGAAGTGGTGGTGCTTGGCATATTCCAGAGATTTAAAGTTTGACTCAAACATACATTTAATGAGTGGGTATGTGAAGCAAAAAATTGAATTGAACATTGTGCTATAAATAAAATCATTGCTTCAGTTGAATAGATATTCTATAGTAACAAACAAGGCACCGTACCTTGTATAACGTGGGAATTGTCTTTCAGAAAGAAATTGTAGAGGTACTTGGGTATAAAAGCAGACATGCACGCATAGGCCAGGGCTGGGGGAAAGAAAAAAAGTATTAGCAAAGAAAACAATTCATTAAAATATCATCATGTATGCATACAAGGAATCCGGAGACAGCATTATTAACTGTGATGGAGACTGTATAGCAATCTGGTTGTCTCAATTGCCTCATCTTAGGTGGTTCACGAAGACTAATTAGTTAAAAAGCTTCAGTCAAAACTGAACTGGATGAACAACGTTTAATGCATCTCCCAATGCTGATCTTGCCAATGCATGATCAGCATTTTTCAGGTTTTATACAGGTCAATAGACACTAGTGTAGTGTCAACATTGCCGGTTTAGAGAATTGTCCTTAGTTTTATTATTATTTTAAAATGTCAATATATCCTGCAGCACTGTACAATAAGTGAGCTAACAAACAAGTAGTCGCATGAAGTCAGACGCACAGGAACTGATGATACTGCGGCCACGATCCAATGCACTTACAATATAAATGGAGTGGGGTATAAGTACTGGATTGGCTGAGATCATCATGATTGATAATCTCAGTCAATCCAATGCTTTCCTATAGAAAAGCAATGGGAGGCTATTGTGTATGCATAGTTAAACGCTGTGATAATCAGCATCTTCTCTTTGAATCAATGCATCTCTACTGGGAATGTACACCATTTCAATTCAGAGCATGTAGAGATGCAGAACAAAGGTGCTCACACTTTGCAGCATTGAGATAGAAAGCACCTCTAGTGGCCATCTCAATAACGGCACCTGGAGGTGTTAACAGGCAGCAATGTTTGCATTGCTGAGCATACAGGGACAGGCTATAGACACCAGAAGAACTACATTAAGATGTAGTGATTCTGGTGACTATAGTGCCCCTATAAGTGGATAATTACCCAACTCAGAAACATAATTGTATTAATCAATTACTTGAACAATTTGAATAATCAGTAGAGTACTAGCATCTGATACTGGTGAGTGATAGCAATCATTATGCTGAAAGCAGTCTGCCTTACTTACATTCGCCAGGCAACCTATAATTACAATAAATACGGTTGCAGACTAACACACATTTTCTAAACCAGCAATAAATTTGAGGGGTGTTCCTATTATAATTGAGCAACTCAGCAAGTAGCTCACAAGCACACCAGTAAAATAAACAGTTGACAAGCTGCATTTTGCTCGCCCTGGCCTAAAGTGTAAGAAAAAGCACAAAACAAAAAAAATTAAAAATAAAAACAGGGAGCATAATGGGATTTATTAAGTTACCAATGCATTACACAGAATGGAAAATTAAACTGCAAGATTAAGCCAACAAAAGTTATTTTGGAAAATTTCGGATTTTATAATCATATAATGTAATCATTGAATTTCAGTTTTGAATTCATCATTCGCTTTTTATGATTAAACTCCCTAAGGTTTTTTAGCTTGCAAACTAATAACATACGGACAGAAAGGATTTTGGTATCAAGTATCCATTGACAAGAACATACATTCAACATTGAAATAAAACATGTGATTTCAACCATCAAATTGTATTCAAAACACTTGCATGATGTTTAAAGAAGTGGAGGCGGCAATATTTGATGGTCATTTAAATCAATGCTTTGTTTTGATGGTCCTTTCCGTCGGATATCCTCCGTATATGAAACCAGTTGATTGAACAAGCAGGAAAATGGAAAATGTGCTGCGAAGTGTCGACATTCAGGAACTATTGATAATTAATACAGGAAATACATTGCAATGCTCACTTAACATATAAACTGCAATCGAAAAAATATAGCTAAATTGCAAAATCCACTTACCTTCATTATTAAAATTCAAATAAAGGAATGGTGCGCATAAAGAGTCCAAGCCTAGTGAAAAGAAACACATGGATGCATTATGCAAAACAAGAGGGCCTTTAAAATTAGTTTTACATCTTTCTGAAGACATTCAGCAGAATGACCTTTAAAAGTACTCCCTACAACAAATAAACAAGAAAACAGTCTATTACCCACTGGGTGAGGATATCACAACAGGGGTGGTCAGTACGAGTGGCACCCTGTAGCTAAAGGGAGAACTAGTCTCTATTGATCTGTTGAGGGGCTCAGATAATCTCTAGCAGAGGTAGCTGCAAATAGTATTTAGATATTACTCTTAGAACCATGTATAGCTAGGGGGAATTTACTATAACTGACATCCATGAAGATGTCTTAGGGCCCTAGAGTAAATCATTATTAGAGACTCTAGGCTCATTTGTAGAAGGTGTTCAATGCTACCGGCCATGTTTGAGCATATGACCTATAAGCAATGTTTGATGGATGTTTTTTCACTCTATAATGTACTAGTATCTTGATATTTATGATATAAACCACCCCATATAGACGCTTATACTAAGCAACTGCTTAGTCGATCTCTCCCCATTCCCTCTACAAATAACAAGGTGACGCCTGTGAAAGTTAAGGCATATTATTTGACACAATGTATCTATTTAGAGATTCATCTCTTTAGACCTTTTTGTATCCACTCTTCTGGAATTGAGAGTTTTTCTATCTGCCTCTGCTATTTCAGCTGGAACTTCTTATTTATATAGTTGGGGTAATTTTTGGCTAATACATTTTTGGCAATTATAATGCAACCTATTAGTTTATCCACTTCAATGGTATTCTGTGCCTTGACATACATGATAGATACTTTCCTCATTATGTTTTAACTATTGCTTCAGGGATTTCCTTGATAAGGATTTCATCACTTTGCTTTTATATTACTCCCTACAACATGTACATGGTATAGCCGTCTGTAGTGGTTATGGCACCTTGGGGTGCACTTGTGCAATCCAATGGTTTGACAACTTACCAGGGTCCTGGGCACTTGCTGTTCATTCTGTGATCTCCAGCAGTAGATTGTGTGGATTAGCAGAGTGTTTTTTCAGCTGATTATTGCGTTACTGCAGTGGCTTTGTTTTCCTCTAAACTGATAATCGACTTCTCCTGCTTAAGGAGACAGCATGCACTTACACACTCGTGCTTGACAAGCTGTCATAGCTTTGTGTCAATGAGCCTGTTCTGTGTTTGCCTGCCTATCTCTATGAGAAGTATTACATTGGACGAGATTGCAGAAGACATCAGCAAGCATGCTCACGTCTTTGTCAGCAGAGTGGGTGACTTCAGCGCAGGACACACAAAAGAAATGGAGTTGTGTGGAGTGAAAACATACCATTCAGTCCTAGAGCTAAGTACCCTAGGTACGCCTCTGAAAAACATCTTATTTTCTATGAGAAATAAAACAATCAAGAGTCTGGCTTGCATGAAACATAGCAATTCTGTGACTCCAACTGGTTCTACTACTACAGTATTAAAGTCTTAAATATCAATACTGTGATGCAAATTAGCATTCTACCCATAACAAAAGGCTGCTGTCAGAGTTACAATGATTTACATGAATGTTTAAAGGGACTTTATAGGTATGGTTAGCACTATGGCTTAATATAGTGGTTCTTGTGTCTAGAGCCTGTTCCTGCAGGGAAAGCAGTGTAATCACTGACATTTTACAGAAAATGAAGTGTTTACATTGCTGCCTTTACACCTTCTAGTGGCTGTCACTTAGAAAGCCACTAGAGAGGCTTCCTTTGTTTGGTCCTGCAAAGATTGCAGGACCAGCATTCAGCATCTACATGCTCGGCATAGAGATGCATGACTCATTCCATCTCATTGAGGCAATGCTCAATGGTGCAGCAGCACTGTGATTAGTGGTGCATACACACTGGCCTTACCTATGGGGAAGCATTGATTTGCTGAGATCATCAGCATTGATGATTGCAGTCAGGGACATGAGTCAATCACACAGAGAGCAGCATGGCAAGGCAGTAAAGGTAAGTAAATCTCATTCTGGGAGTGCTCAATAACCTAAGGTGTTAGCATAACAATATTCCGCTAGGAATACATGTGTGTTTACATAACACTACAGTGATCCTTTAACAGGGATTGGTCTTCCAGCCTTCACCCAGTCACACACATCTTTGCTCTGTGCATTCTATTGTGTCAGCAGGTAATGCAGCTTGCTGTAGGTGATCATACAATGATCATAAAGTACCTTGCCAGTAGACTAAGTTAGGGTGTGAGACCACCCAAGCTTTCAACACTCTTCGGAATTTTGAGTGCCCCTCTGGGGATGAGAGGAGTTCGTCATACTGATGGCAACGTGGGATATCAACTTCAATCTGGAAAAAAATTAAAAGGTAACACCAGCGGGGTAGGCAAACATAATAAGAAGCGATTCTTAATTTTTTTAAATTTCCTTTTTTGACACCATTAATTATTTATATATTATTCTACTTATTTCCTAAGATTAAGTTCATATTAAGTCTCTTTACTTGTTCACGTTTGTTACATTGTCTTTCTGTGGTGTGGTTATTTCTCACAGATCTGCCTACAAATAAATGCAATTTGCAGCTTTGAGCTTCAGATACTTTATAAATAATGAAATAAATAGTAATACAAAATATTACTTACCTGACGGTCTGTGGGTATTGGTGTGTCTTTGTCTGTTGAATCGTATTTTTCTTGGATGGCACCCTTGAAATTAATAATGCATCAGTTGAAAAATGGATTTTAGATCTGGTTTTGTACAGCTAGAGAAAAAAATGATTTCTTCAAACATGATCTGTACAAGGGGCTTTTTATTTTAAAAATCTTACTTACTGTGTAGCCTTACCTCAACACCCAAGAGTGCAGCCCACGTTAAGCCCCTCAAAAGTGGGGGAATGTCTACTCGAGCTTCTTTCCAAACTAGGTTTTTTTTGTATGGGTATGCCTATAATAAGAGCACATAAAAATAAATATGAGCATTTAAAAAGCAAAGAATTAACTAAACTTTACACAGATTTGCTGACATCCACCAATAGATGAAAAACCAATTAAAGGAACACTCTAGACACCCCAACCAGTGCTTATAGCACTGCCTAACACCACCTCTAGAGGATGTCACTCAGACATAGAGGGTTCAGTGTATAAATGCTCTGCTCATGCTTGAGTAAAGGTGTCTCTAGGATAAGATTGTGATTAGCACAGTGCAGCAATTGCACGAACACTTGCCTCCCAATGCTTCCCTATGGGGAAGCATTTTTTTTTGGCTGAAATCATGAGTATTGAGATTCTTAGCCAGTGAAGGAGTGGAGGCCAGATCAGCATGCCACGGAACAAGGTTAGATTAACTTTTATGGAGGTTGGTGTTACACTTCTGTAACACCCTAGTCTGGTCTGTTCATGGTCCACCTGGTCTATTCACCTACTTGCCCTGCTTGGAAACAATTTCTAAGCAGGGTTAACCTCCTCCATGATGCCGACATGGCTTTGTTCTATTCAGCTAACAGTGCTGGCTGTGAAGTTGCCGCGTGCTATGGTTGCTATGGTTGCAGAGCTCTCCTTTATCAATCAATTCCTCAGCATTGATTCTATGCTAAAGAATAGATGGACAAGTAAGAGAAAAACCTCTTTAATAAATAAATCCCATTGTACAGCTCTGTGGAACTTGTTGACACGTTACAAATAATGATAATAATAATAAATAGCTTTTTCTCCCAGTCTATAGATTGGTTAGAAAAACTGCTAGCACAATTTGTAGATTAAATGTGATGCTCTTGAATATCAAAAGTCGTTTTGCCCTTCAACAAATGTGATTTTCATGTTTTTTTGGATTTTTGACTCTTTGGTGGAAGTAGCTAACTCCTGGAAACTGCATAAGTAGGGTTTCAAACCAATAGGAATGTGTGGTCAGACAGTATTTTTAGAAAAGGCAAGGCAATGAAATGAGTTTTGCAAGGTAAGCTATTGTCTAAAGAATCACTCTGCTAAATAAAGACTTATTAAATTGAGACACTGATGAGACAATATATATATGCACAATCTAAGTTAAAGGACCGCTATAACTGGCAAACCAAAAACTCGTTTTCTTGGCACAGCCAGTATTTGAGGCTGCCTGGCTGGTGCCAATATTACAGTGATACTGGCAATACAAATGCTGGTATTTTTCTCAGTATAAACAAGAGATTACTATGCAATACCAGCACTGGCCAGTAGGGGTCGCTGTATGTGGCGACAGGCAGGGATAGGAAGTTCCAGCATATCCCTCCCTGCCTATCTATACTCACTGATCTGCAGGGGAGCAGCTACAGTGAGTCCAGACAGCAACTCCCACCCTGCAGAGACAGCCTACAGCTCAGTGAAGTAAGGGATGGGGGGAAAGGCTGCAAGGAGACATACACTGAGACACTAAGGGACATTGGGAGACATTATGGCAGACACTGAGACACTAAGGGACATTGGGAAACATTATGGCAGACAATGAGACACTAAGGGACATTGGGAGACAGTATGGCAGACACTGGGACACTAAGGGACATTGGGAGACATTATGGCAGACACTGAGACACTAAGGGACATTGGGAGACATTATGGCAGACACTGAGACACTAAGGGACACTGGGAGACATTATGGCAGACACTGAGACACTAAGGGACATTGGGAGACATTATGGCAGACACTGAGACACTAAGGGACACTGGGAGACATCATGGCAGACACTGAGACACTAAGGGACATTGGGAGACATTATGGCAGACACTGAGACACTAAGGGACATTGGGAGACATTATGGCAGACACTGAGACACTAAGGGACATTGGGAGACATCATGGCAGACACTGAGACACTAAGGGACATTGGGAGACATTATGGCAGACACTGAGACACTAAGGGACATTGGGAGACATTATGGCAGACACTGAGACACTAAGGGACACTGGGAGACATTGTGGCAGACACTGAGACACTAAGGGGCATTGGGAGACATTATCGCAGACACTGAGACACTAAGGGACATTGGGAGACATTATGGCAGACACTGAGACACTAAGGGACACTGGGAGACATTATGGCAGACACTGAGACACTAAGGGACACTGAGAGACATTATGGCAGACACAGACACTAAGGGACACTGGGAGACATTATGGCAGACACTGAGACACTAAGGGACACTGGGAGACATTATGGCAGACACTGAGACACTAAGGGACATTGGGAGACATTATGGCAGACACTGAGACACTAAGGGACATTGGGAGACATTATGGCAGACACTGAGACACTAAGGGACATTAGGAGACATTATGGCAGACACAGACGCTAAGGGACACTGGGAGACATCATGGCAGACACTGAGACACTAAGGGGCACTGGGAGACATTATGGCAGACACTGAGACACTAAGGGACATTGGGAGACATGATGGCAGACACTGAGACACTAAGGGACATTGGGAGACATTATGGCAGACACTGAGACACTAAGCGACATTGGGAGACATTATGGCAGACACAGACAATAAGGGACACTGGGAGACATTATGGCAGACACTGAGACACTAAGGGACACCGGGAGACATTATGGCAGACACTGAGACCCTAAGGGACATTGGGAGACATTATAGCAGACACTGAGACACTAAGGGACATTGGGAGACATTATGGCAGACACTGAGACACTAAGGGACACTGGGAGACATTATGGCAGACACTGAGACACTAAGGGACATTGGGAGACAGTATGGCAGACACTGAGACACTAAGGGACACTGGGAGACATTATGGCAGACACTGGGACACTAAGGGGCACTGGGAGACATGGCAGACACTGGGGCACTGGGAGACATTATGGCAGACACTGAGACACTAAGAAACATTGGGAGACATTATGGCAGACACTGAGACACTAAGGGACATTTGGAGACATTATGGCAGACACTGAGACACTAAGGGACATTGGGAGACATCATGGCAGACACTGAGACACTAAGGGACATTGGGAGACATTGTGGCAGACAGACACTAAGGGGCACTGGGAGAGATTATGGCAGACACTGAGACACTAAGGGACATTGGGAGACATGGCAGACACGGAGACACTAAGGGACATTGGGAGACATTATGACACAGACACATGGGAACACAGTGTCCCCATGTCTCCCAGCCAGTGTCCCTGGTGTCTCAGTGCTCCCTAGTCTCCCAGTGCCCCCTAGTCTCCCAGTGTCTCACTGTCCCCATGTCTCCTAGTGCCTCCATGTCTCCCAGTGCCTCAAGTGTCTCAATGTCCCCATGTCTCCAAGCTAGTGTCCCTAGTGTCTGTGGCCCTGGTGTCTCCTTGTCCCCATGTCTCCCAGTGCCCCCCCATGTCTCAATGTCCCCATGTCCCCCAGCCAGTGTCTCTAATGACTGTGTCCATGGTGTCTGTGTCCCCATGTCTTCAAGTGTCCCTTATTTTCCCAGTGTCCCCATGCGTCCCAGCCAGAGTCCCCTAGTCCCCCAGTGTCACTGGTGTCTCCGTGTCCCTAGGTCTTCCCGTCTTCTATGAGGAGATGCTGATTGGCCAGGGCTGTGTTTGATCATGCTGGCTCTACCCCTGATCTGTCTCTTTGTCATTCTCAGCCAATCCTATTGGGAAGCACTGTGATTTGATCAGGCTACCACTTCTGATCATGTCAGCAGACTGCTTATTTTTCTGAGTCTAACAGCATGCAGAGTTACAGCTTCAGGCTTGAATACAGTAAGATTTTGCTATATTTATGGAGGCATGGGGGGCCAAGGTGGGCTAGATGGTGGTGTTAACACTATAGGGTCATGAATTCATGTTTATGTTCCTGACCCTATAGTGATCTTTTAAGGTAATGCTGACTTTGGTGGCAAGTTCCCTTTCTTCTACACTCACTACGTACAGCTTTTCTCTGTCCCAGACTATATACCAGGAGCTTCTGCCTGCTAGTAAGAAGGTAAGCAGACAAGTGGACCAGCGAGTGCTAGGGGACAGTCCTTAGAAAGCGTTGAGCGAGCGCATCATTAGATGCATTTATGCCAAGCTCAGGGTGCTGTCTGCATAGTATGCCCTTAGTTGGCGAGCTGCATGATTGGCAGGCAGCCTGACATGCATTCATACCAGACTGGCCTTCTAATTCTTTGGGCAGACATATCCTCTTTTTGGGCATGTTCGCCCCTTTTGGCAGATTACGTGATTTGTGTCAGTGGCACACCCTTTTGCCGTTCCCATTGACTTCCTGCTTGACTGGACTCTGCTGTTAGGGGTTATGGATTTACTTGAAAGATGAAAACATAAATTAGTGAGAGATTAGCCTGGGGTATGTGTTTTCTTATAGCTGCGGTTTTCTTTCTCTCCAGCACCATCTCCATCAGATACATGATGCTTGGGAGTGTTTTACTGTTTTTGGTCGATATGATTCTGTAATTAGGCCCGTCATAATTGTCAGCACCAGGTCCACTAGGCTCTTAATCTGGCCCTGAGTGTTGGGTGCAGTTATCCATCAGTATATACAGAAATTGTGTTTAATCTTCTAAACCTAGGTCAGTATTATTACTATTATCATTCTAGAGCACCAACATATTCTGCAGTGCTTTACAATAATAGAAAAGCGATTTTAGAGGTGAAGACCCTGTTCAAACGAGCTTACAATCTATAAGGATTGGATGGGTTGCCCAATGCTAAGAAAGTGACATTACCACTGCTCTACCTAGCTTATATATATTAAATTATATATGTAAATGATTTATTGAGGACTAATAGTAGCAAACCTTTCAGAGTTTAGAAGTGACAATGTGAAGGAATACCCCATCACTTTCGGCTCCTTTTTGTTGTCTGGATTCGAGCCCAAGTTTTTTTCATTTATTTTGTTCGGTTCCTGAACTGAGACCACCCCAGAGACCCATTAGAATGTGAAACGTTAAATATCTTGCACGAAAACCACAACGTAACGAAGTAATTAAATGCTCCATTGGGTGGCCATTTTGTCATCCGAACGCAGGCAGCGGAACTTGGTCATCGAGTGCCTCGAACTCATTTCAGCCAGGCACTCCCGCGAACCCTGGTCATCATGGACCTGCTACCCGTTCCCGTTCACCTATACGAATGGCGTTCGGGAGATATATACTACCGAACACAGGGAGCATTCTCTACTGCTTTTATCTAACTTGTGTGGTTTTCGTACAAAACCCCATGAACGGAGACCGGCTCTTGCCACAATTTTCCTGGAACTATTTTGGGCTTTAACCTCATGGCAGGCCGGTCAGAACTTCCCAGCGATGGCGATCCAAAACTTTTGTGGGTTTCCATGTATTTTGCGGGTACTTCTGGATTGTTCAGAAATTGTTATACTTTTCTGTCCCTGGAGATAATTGAGTTTGTACAGTTCCTGACTCAATTATCTCTCAGGCACAGAGGAGGAGTTGACTGACTGTATAAATTTGATGCCTGTGCTTCCATTACAGTCTTCTTCCAGCATTAAGCCTTGGTTCATGTGTGGGGGGGTTATGCTACACCAGTTATATTTTACCTGTGGAATTATTTGCTTGTCTATATGGGAAAAAGGATATCCGTAGCGGTGACACCTTGTCAGACCGCCACAGATAACTCATCGTAGTGCAATGTGCAGCTAGTTGTATAAGCTTACCTTTAGAAGTCTATCAAATAAAACAATCCTGTTAAGTTGATATTCTGTGTCTCTCTCTCGAATAATCAGAGGAAGGGCTGAGGTAGATAGCTCATTGTTGCTGCCTGAATGGGGTACATTGGACTGGCTGAAAGGTAGTTATAAACAACACAATATGTCAGATGATATTTGTGCACCCAGTTACATTCACATCTTCCTGGTATTTCAGATTGGCACTTTGTCTCACTACCAAATTTTACTGAATGTTCACCCTCAGAGTTTGTTCCAATATAATAGTAGCTAATCTTACGGCCTGTCATTTCCTGAGACATTGCGATAGATGTGTGCAAACCACGGCCAAATTAAAGTGTGTATAAACAATGCAAATGGTGAAATTATTAACAACACATTGCAAACTTCACCCCAGTAAGAAAAAAAGATACATAAATTACTTCCTGCACAAACAGATATAAAATGCCTCCATTAAACCTTGCCGCAAATATGTTGGAACTGTAAACTAAGAACGTAGCAATCCTACATATAAGAAATATGCTATGGTGTTTGCTTTTTCAGATAAATAAACTTGCATTATTCATTGTTTCAGCTTCTAAAATAATCCAAAAATAAGACTTTAGATATATTAAAGCAGCATAAACATATATACTCACTCTTCTCCCAGTAGTGGATAAAACACTTCTCCTGGGACATCTTTTAATCTCTATAAAGTACAAACAAATGGGTAAAAAAATTAAAGAAACTATATAGATCAGATGTTGGTCATTGTTGCAAAGATTAAAAAAAAACCCCCCAAAATATACCATTTTGATCCGAAAAAAAAAAAAAAAAAAAAAAAAGTATTGCATGTGGGATCCCTGGGAAGTTTGCACCTATCTCAACACAACTGAAGGTACCTCATATACTAACACACTGATCAGTGTCCCTTTTTTGATGCCAAATGGAGACTTCTGCTCAGCTAGTTTACCTCTGGACTACTAATAGTCTCTGTCTGATATCTCCCGTCTTTCTCTTATTCCTTTTCCTCTCAGGAAACATTATCTACAATGTTTTCTGTTTATGCTGCTTTTGTACTGCATGCTCTTTTAGTACTTAGATCTCAATTTAATACGCTTTGGTAATGATTAAAAAAATTCAAGAGGCTATAATGGGTGACGTCTGTAGATAAATTACAAGGAGAGGTTTTTTTTTTTAACAGCATTGAACCATTGGAAAGCTTATTACATTGAAGCCTTAATTGGCTATTATTTTCAAAATAATACCAGGGTACACGTGTAAAACGCTATTTAAATCAGCAATAATGTGTCCAACTGATATTTGTATCTATTTACTATGAAACATAACAGCTGCACAAATGTGACATCATCCAATCTAGCTTGTAGAGCAAACAGGAGTGAAACTCAGAAAAAATAGCCAAGCAATATTCAGCAGATGGTTAGTTCATGATATCAATTAGAATAAGCTCATGAGAAGGTTTTTCATAAGGATTTGTGCACTCCATAACTTTGACACAGGACTCTAACCCAGTTTTCAAGTCTAAAGGGAAACTATAGTCACCAGAACAACTACAGCTTATTGAATTTGTTCTGGTGAGTAGAATCATTACCTTCAGGCTTTTTGCTGTAAACAATGTCTTTACAGAGAAAATGCAGTGTTTACATTACAGCCTAGTGATAACTTCACTGGCCACTCCTCAGATGGCTGTTAAGAGATCCTTCCTGGGTCATAGATGCCTAAAATACATCCAAACATTCAGTATCTCCTCTCTCTGCATGTAGACACTGAACTTTGCTCATAGAGATGCACTGATTCAATTCATCTCTATGAGGAGATGCTGTTTGGCCAGGGCTGTGTTTGAATTGTGCTGGCTCTGCCCCTGATCTGCCTCTTTGACAGTCTCAGCCAATCCTATGGGGAAGCATTGTGATTGGATCAGGCTACCACTTCTGCTGATGTCAGCAGGCAGTGGGCAGATCTAAAGGAAACAGTGACAAAGCATGCAGCTGCAGACTTGAATACAAGTAAGATTTTACTATTTTAGGGAGACATGAGAGGACCAAGGTGGCTAGATGGTGGTTTTAAACCTATAGGGTCAGGAATACATGTTTGTGTTCCTGTCCCTATAATGATCCATTAGGAAGTGGTTTTTTTTGCACCTTGCACCAGTGTGTCTTCTGCTTTTGTAATTTGTTTTGTGTTTTTAAAAGAAATCTTTCTTGGCTAATATCAAGAGTAGTACCAAGACATCTTCTGGTGCTGTAGAATGCTCTGAAACAACTTGCCTAGTCTTGTCACTGTGGGTGGGTGCTTTCATACACATGGTGTGGGTAACTGCACTCAAATACTTCTGTGTTGCACAAAGTACTTTTGAAACCCTCCACAGAACACTCCACTTACTCTGACTAGTGAGTAAACAAGTTTCATATCTGCACCGGGGTCAGTCATGACATTTATTTATGTTCTCATTTAATTTTATCTAGCATTGCACCATAAAGTGGGAGTATTGCTGTGCTGTTACTTGTTATGTCTGCTGTTTGTAAATATACACACACACAAAATGTCATATGTTACTGTATTTGGTAACCTGAACCTCAAAGTAAGGAGACCCAAAGACTGGACTAGGTCATCCATAGTGGCTTGTGCACTTCAGTGAACATAAGTAACAGAAAACTAGAAAAAAATTAGCAGTACAAATTCATGCACTTCAGACATTTAAATGTACAAAGCACTTGACGTCACATTCCTCTCACCATAATTTTGTGGTTGGTAAGATTCAAAAAAAAAAATTCAGAGCCACTACCAACTGCACTTATCATTATTTGGGTAGTGGTGGGGGGAGAAACATTTTTACTGGTGGCGTACATAACGGGGTCGCAGCTGCGACTGGGCCCGGCCCACCAGGGGGCCCGGCCGCCCTGCGACCCGGTATGTATGCCACTGTGGCCAGCCTCTTCTCCTGGGGGGCCCAGGAGCCGGCCACCTCAGGGCCCCCCCGAGGCTGGCCCTGGTGTCACCCGGCGGGCTGGCTCGCAGGCGTGCGAGGGAGCACTCTCCCCTGTGTGCTTCCTCTTCAGCTCCCTCGCGCACCACACTAATACCGGAGCCGGAAGATGACGTCATTTTCCAGCTTCGGCATCAGTACGCGGCGAGTTAGGGAGCTGAAGAGGGAGCGCACTCAGGGGAGAGTGCTCCGTAGCGCGCCCGCCAGCCTGCCTGCCGGGTGACACCAGTGGACCCCAGGGAGTCCCCTCAGCACTCCCACAGGTAAGGAGGCTGGGGGGATACATTTTTTTTTTTTTTAAACGTGAGTGTGTGTTAGAGTGTGTGTGTGTGTGTGTTAGTGTTCGAGTGTGTGTGTGTTAGAGTGTGTGTGTTAGTGTTAAAATGTGTGTGTGTGTTAAAGTGTGTGTGTTTGTTAGAGTGTGTGTGTTAGTGTTAGAGTGTGTGTGTGTTAGAGTGTGTGTGTTTGTTAGAGTGTGTGTGTGTTAGTGTTAAAATGTGTGTGTGTGTTAGAGTGTGTGTGTTAGTGTTCGAGTGTGTGTGTGTGTTAGAGTGTGTGTGTTAGTGTTAAAATGTATGTGTTAGAGTGTATGTGTTTGTTAGAGTGTGTGTGTTAGTGTTAGAGTGTGTGTGTGTTAGAGTGTGTGTGTTTGTTAGAGTGAGTGTGTGTTAGAGTGTGTGTGTGTGTGTGTTAGTGTTCGAGTGTGTGTGTGTTAGAGTGTGTGTGTTAGTGTTAAAATGTGTGTGTGTGTTAAAGTGTGTGTGTTTGTTAGAGTGTGTGTGTTAGTGTTAGAGTGTGTGTGTGTTAGAGTGTGTGTGTTTGTTAGAGTGTGTGTGTGTTAGTGTTAAAATGTGTGTGTGTGTTAGAGTGTGTGTGTTAGTGTTCGAGTGTGTGTGTGTGTTAGAGTGTGTGTGTTAGTGTTAAAATGTATGTGTTAGAGTGTATGTGTTTGTTAGAGTGTGTGTGTTAGTGTTAGAGTGTGTGTGTGTTAGAGTGTGTGTGTTTGTTAGAGTGTGTGTGTGTTAGAGTGTGTGTGTGTGTGTGTTAGTGTGTGTGTTAGAGTGTGTGTGTGTTAGTTAGTGTGTGTGTTAGAGTGTGTGTGTGTGTTAGAGTATGTGTGTGTCAGTGTGTGTTAGTGTTAGAGTGTGTGTGTGTGTTAGTGTGTGCGTTAGTGTTAGAGTGTGTCAGTGAGTGTGTTACTGTGTGTCTGTCACTGAGTGTGTTAGTTTGTGTGCGTCTGTTAGTGAGTGTGTGTTTTGTAAGTGAGTGAGTGTGTGTCTGTCTCAATGAGTGTGTATGTCAGTAAATGTGTGTGTCTGTTAGCTAGTGTGTATGCGTCTGTTCGCGAGAGTATGTGTGTCTTAAGCACTTACCTTTCTCCAGCGCCGGACTCCCTTGGTGCTGGGGATCTCTCCGTCCCGATCTGCCTCTCAGCTCCGAATGCGCATGCGTGGCAAGAGCCGCGCGCGCATTCAAACCACCCATAGGAAAGCATTACTCAATGCTTTCCTATGGACGTTCAGTGTCTTCTCACTGTGATTTTCACATTGAGAATCGTGGAAGCTCCTCTAGCGGCTGTCAATGAGACAGCCACTAGAGGCTGGATTAACCCTCAGTGAAACATAGTAGTTTATCTGAAACTGCTATGTTTTCAGCTGCAGGGTTAAAACTAGAGGGACCTGGCACCCAGACCACTTCATTGAGCTGATGTGATCTGGGTGTCTGTAGTGGTCCTTTATGTGTATGTGTATCTGCATGCACTGGCATACATACCGCGGTCGCAGGGGTCGCAGCCCTGCGGCCAGATGCCCGCCGTTAATGTGTTGCGGCCCCAGCCCGCGCAGAGTAAGCGCGCGAGAGGCGGGGGGAGGGAAAGGGGGCCACGGATCAGTTTTCGCACCGGGGCCCCATGGGTTGTGTGTACGCCACAGATTTTTACATTTGAAATTAATAGCATGCATACAACAGACCTGTGTTCGGTGAAACAGTCAACAATTTAGGTTTCTGTTTCCCCATACAGGGGACAACAGAGACAGATTGCCCAAACAGCACAATGTGACTGCATCTTTAGACATGCTCATGCTACACAAGTTGTAATTAGGGCTCCCAAGACATGAGCAGAGTACTTTAACATCTCTCTTTGCATGTGTACACATGTGTGGGACTGGCCAATGTGATGGCCAGTCAGTCTGGCAAGCTTTCATATCAGGCTTACATCCAAAAAGGTGCATCCCTTTCTTGGATGGGCTCACCCTCTTTGGACATTGTTAGTGATGCCAGCTATGTCACTAACACACCCCTTAAAGGTCAACTTCTGCCACAGTTGCCAATCTGCCAACGGTTAGGAGGTATGTAACACGACTGATCTGTTGTTGTGGTAAACTTTATTTTAGTTACAATTTTAAGTATACGAGTCAGATTCCCATCAAAACAGTTTTGTTATGATTCTGACATGATTTTATGATTTATTGCAAAATTAGTTGTTTTAGCAGTTTCATATAATTTTGAATGGCTTTTTATCAAATAATTTTCTATTTTTCATATGTAGCTTCTGTCAATGATTTATCATTTGACAATTTTAGGGCACTGTCTCCTTGATTACACTTTCTATTCTGTATTCATTTTAGTTGTCTATTTTAGTATGTAACACTACCCAATATCAAAGAGGCAGTCTTACATTTCTTAGCTGACAGAGAGATAAATTCACAGTGGTGTCATCCAAAAGGAAACTTCTGTCTCTTCCTTGGCCAAAACTTTCACCATCTTCAAGCAGAAAGCTTTAATGAAAAGACATAGTAATTATCAATATCTTTCAAAATGTATAATAATAACAAGTACCTAGCACCACAAATGTACAATTGCTATAAGGTTTTAGCACTATAAAAGAAATGACATTACAGAACAGCTGACATATAATACGGATTGTGTAACGCTTACACTTTCTTAGTGCTAACTGATGATAACAAAATATATATATGACATGTCGCTTGTGTAACAAAGTATATAACTGGTCACATTTTTTTGCTTACAACATAGAAGTACAGACATGGACAACGGCTCACTTACACTCAGGGACAGTTTTCTATCAGATTTCCCTACCCATGAAAATCCCCTACCCTCGTCACTTCCGGTGAGGGGAATCAGCTGTAGCCTGTGCTGCACATGCTTGGTAGCACTCCTGCTGGGGTAGGGAAATCTGATAGAAATCTAGACCTTAAGGCACCCTGTGTGAAAAATCTTGACAGCACCCCTCCCTCGTTTTTGTATCATTGGCCTCCCCGACTATAAAACACAGATTAATGTACATTTTGTATGATAGATCTCCACTGTAATAAATCTCATAATAATATGATGTAATGTGTGTGTTGTCTGTGTGTGGTAGGCATAATGGCTGTGTGTGATAATATTAATGGGTGTATTGACTGTGTGTGATACATGTGTTTATTGACTGTGTGTAATGGGTATTTAATTCAGACAAACATATGCGCGTGACCCATGTGCGAATGCAGGTGTGTGTTTTGTCAGAGTCACTTGCACACAGTCTCACAGTCAGATGCACACAATTATACACATACACTATCAAATACAGGCACAAGTGCACAGTCCAAAAGAAAAAAAGTCTACACGTGGTGGTTGTCAAAAGCAAGACTAATCCACACAACCTGTAGAAAGTAACACCTTATTAGACACTCCAGAAATATCATGGGGCTTAACCCCTATCCGTGAAACTGCAAAAAATACTCAAACTGCTGGATAGGAGATCCAGAAACAAGAGTATCAACTGGAAATCTAATTGAATTGAAAATAATAATACATCAAAGAAAGAAAAAGGTAAATAAATAAAGAAGTAATGGCAGTACATAAACGTGCTCCTAAACTAAAAAGTCAGAAACAGATGAAAAATCACTGAAGCCAAATGGCTAACCTCCAAAATCTCTGGTCTCTGGGAATATCTATGATCGTTCAGACTCCAGACTTTAATTCTAATTTACAGGGTCAATGTCTGAAAATAATCAATAATAAAAATGTATACACATAGACCTAGAGCCTGGTCGAGAACCAGTGCAATCTGTATACCCTCAGAAAGATAGGTAGCTTAAATCATATGTTTTAAAGAAAAGAGGAGCTATCTTGTTGATCTGTGGACACAGGCAAACCCATATGGCTAAATGGAAATATGAGCTTGTGTGAAAACTTAAATCAAAAGACCACATAAGACTAAATAATGTAGTTATTCCTACAATACAAAATTGACACAACATATATCTAAATTGCCATTCGTTCCAATAGGGGCTGAATTAGTGACAAATAGTTAGACTTTAAATTGTGAAGTCAGAGGATCTCTCAGAACTTAGAGTCAGTGTTACCATTACCCCTCCTAACCTTTGCAAAAGGCATTGAATATTCCACTCTTTAAAACATATGATTTAAGCTACCTATCTTTCTGAGGGTATACAGATTGCACTGGTTCTCGACCAGGCTCTAGGTCTATGTGTATACATTTTTATTATTGATTCTTTTCAGACATTGACCCTGTAAATTAGAATTAAAGTCTGGAGTCTGAACGATCATAAATATTCCCAGAGACCAGAGATTTTGGAGGTTAGCCATTTGGCTTCAGTGATTTTTCATCTGTTTCTGACTTTTTAGTTTAGGAGCACGTTTATGTACTGCCATTACTTCTTTATTTATTTACTTTTTTCTTTCTTTGATGTATTATTATTTTCAATTCAATTAGATTTCCAGTTGATACTCTTGTGTCTGGATCTCCTATCCAGCAGTTTTAGTATTCATTACATGTGCACAGTCTCAGGCACATAGTAACAAACACAGGTACAGGCAGACAATAAACACAATCACTATCCTAACCCCTCACACCTCTATTTCAGAGCAAAGCAATGTGTTCCTCTTACTTAGGTAGGGTGCAGATGGGTGGCTTTGAACGAATAATTCCTTTACTGATGAGCTCTTTTTCCAAGTCACCTCCAGCCAGACACCAGAGATAGTATACCTCTTCAATCGATCGTTCTGCGAGGAAATCACTGTCCAACTCTAACATAACAACAGTACACAAAAGCTACTATTACTTTTTACATAGTCCGTGACAATGAATCCTAAACTCTCTGTCATTCCTTGTTGACCTGTGGCCATCCTTTGAGGGGTCACCGTACCTTTACATAGGAGACTGATGTCTTCAGGCAGAATTAAATCAGCACACCTCAGCGCTGATGAAAAAAGACTGGCAGGTTTGCGGTAAGGCACATATAGTGGAGAAATTTCACTGAACACACTGTCATGGAGCAAGTCTGTAGCAGTGGGCCTAAACAAACACAACAAATAGCATTAACAGCACAAGTCCCTGGCAACGAGCAACAAGAGACATGAAGCAACTATCATTACATAAACGCTCTCTTTAGAAATATATGAAAGAACTGGCATTTGTAAAACACTAGTTTAATATAAAGACAAACTTGGAAAAACTACACTCCTCTAATTAACAATGCTATGCTTATGGTTTTCTCATTGAGGAACATTACATTAATTTATAGTAAGTCCTATTATTATTACTATTAATATTCCCATTTATATAGCGCCAAAAGATTCCGTAGCGCTTTACAATATTATAAGAGGGGATTTAATAATAAATAGGACAATTACAAGAAAACTTACAGGAACGATAGGTAAGAGGACCTTGCTCAAACAAGCTTACAGTCTATAGAAGGTGGGGTATAAACACATTAGGACAGGAAATAGCAATCAAATAAGGTGGGAGTGAAGCAGAGCTGGAGATGAGAGTAGAGTGCTGCCCTATAGGAGAGAGCAAGAGACAGGTATGTAAGGGAGAGGTTACTTTGGGAGGCCATAAGCTTTCATAAAGAAGGCACTTCTTAAATTATTGAAGACTAGGGGAGAGTCTGATGGTGGTAGGCAGGCTATTTTATAGGAAGGGAGCCGCCCGCGAGAAGTCCTGCAAGCGCGAGTTGGCCGTACTGGTGCGAGCAGTGGACAGGAGAAGGTCACGGGCAGAGCGGAGAGACCAAGAAGGAGCATACCTATGGATCTGTGATGAGATATAAGAGGGGCTCCAATGTTCAATGCTTTTTAGGTATGGGTTAGCACTTTGAATTGACTCCTATAGGATACAGGAAGCCAATGTAAGGACTGACAGAGGGGTGAGATGTGAGAGGACCAACTAGAGAGAAAAATAAGTATGGTGGTAGCATTCATTACAGTAGTGGGTCAATATGGCTTTTGGGAAGACCAATTAGGCGAGGGTTACAGTAATACATGTGGGAAATTACTAGAGCATGGACAAGCTCCTTGGTAGCATCTTGTTTAAGAAAGTGTTTTTAAGATGGAATCTACAGGATTTGGCGACATACTGGATGTGAGGCTCAAAGGTGAGGCCAGAATCAAGTCTTAGAACTAGTCTCTTGAAAACTACTGGTAATAACATCTACAAGTCCAGCTACTTAATACTATCTTGTGTATGAACCTCCCCTGCTGAGAGTTGAAGATAGCTTGTTGGCAGCATGGAGATGGAAGAACTGTAAGTATATCTCCCTCTCCTGTTCTTGCTCCCTTTTGGCAAGTAGTAGACATGTACCCAATGGGGAGAATATTTTTTTTATTGAGTGCAGAGAACTCGCAGGACACATGCTTGCTTAATGTACAGAAAAAGTATAAAACAAAAACATAACATATATATATATTTAGTGAAAAAAAGATCCTTTTTCATCTTCCGTTACTTCATTACCTTTTTGATGGATGGAATGTGAGACATTTCCGCAATAAGGTTAATCTAGATTCGGGGAGATCCTGTAAAGCACATACATGCATGTATTAAAACACAACTATATAAAACACATAAAATAACCTAATATTCTGGATCAACAAAAATAACCCCTGTCTAAAATGTAAATATTATTTGCTAATAGGGTACATTTAGGATGTATGTGTGTGATATTCACAGATAACGTGAATGAGCCATATATTTTATTTGTCTGTCCCAATCCACTCCCCATACAAATACTTAGCTTGACATTTTGGGATAAAAGTTTGGTCAATGGCCATCTCACATACTAAGAATATTAAAAAAAGAATATCACAACCAGTGGCGTACCTACCACGGTCACAGGGGTCACAGCTGTGACTGAGCCTGTTATTCCAGGGGGCCCGGCTGCAGCTGCAAATCCCTACGACAGTAGAGGCCACCACATCTTCAGGCCGTGCTCCGGCTTGGGTCCCACGTTTGCCGGTTGACCGCCAGGAGGGGAGTACTGTGCTGCTCCCTTCCTGCCGGTCTCTGTGTGTAGCATGGCTGAGCAAATCAGAGTCTCATGGAAAGAGAGAGCACTTCTTGTTAGACCGGTTACCGCTCGGCCTCGCTACACAAAGTCAGAATGGAATGGGCAGGGAGGGAGGGAGGAATGAGACAAATAGAGGGATTGGGAGGGTGAGAGATAAAGAATGAGGGGCTGGGGGAGAGGGAATGAGAGGAATGGAGGGGCTGGGTGGAGAGGGAATGAGAGGAATGGAGAGGCTGGGTGGAGAGGGAATGATACACATGGGGGGCCTGGGAATAAGACACAGAAGGGCTGGGAATGAGACACATAGAAGGGCTTGGGGGAATTGAGACACATGGAGGGACTGAGGAGGGAAATGAAATATGGGGAGGCAAATGAGACACAGGGAGGGCTTGGGGAGGGGGAAATAAGACAAATGGAAAGGAGGATGAATAAGACACATGGGGGAACTGGGGGGATGAGACACATGAAGGGGCTTGGGGGGAATGGGAAACCCGGAAGGGCTGGGGGCAGATCGGGAATGAAACAAATGGAGGGGCTTGGGGAGGAGGGAAAGAGAAATAGAGGGGCTGGAGCAATGAGACACATAGAGGGTGAAGGAATGTGATACAGAGGGCCCCAGTTTCCCCATGAGACACATGGGGAAACTGGGGGGATGAGACACATGAAGGGGCTTGGGGGAATGGGACACATGGAAGGGCTTGGGGGGGGACACCCAGAAGGGCTGGGGGCAAATCGGGAATGAAACAAATGGAGGGCCTTGGCGTGGGAGGGAATGAGAAATAGAGGGGCTGGAGGAATGAGACACATAGAGGGGCTGGGGTGGATGAGACACATGGAGGGTGAAGGAATGTGATACAGAGGGGCTGGGGGGAAAGAGACACATAGCGGGGCTGGGGAGGGAACTGAGACACATGGGGGTCTGGGGGTAGTGAGACACATGGAGGGACTGTTGGGGAAATGAGACACATGGGGGGTCCCCGGACAATTTTTCCACCAGGGTCCGGAGGTTTCTAGTTACGCCTCTGATCACAACCATGCAGTTTATTAATGATAATACATTAAAAAATAATCACAAAATGTATTAAAAGAAAAGAAACATTATGTCCACAACAAAGTGTCCAGAATCCAAAATTATTTTCAAAATTCAAATAATAAAATGTTAATAAGAGTTCCAGTAACAGTGTACATACCTTTATAATATCCATACAGCCATGCTCCTCACCAAGAGCAGTCACAATGTCATCAACACAGCCTGAGGGAGCAGAGATAACATCAAGGGAGTGAGCAGTATACATACAAAGACAACAACCACCATGTAACAACTATCTTCAACTGAAAGAAAAAACAAACAGAAACTGGTAGAAAAAGAGGTCTGGCTTTATATACATCTCAATAAGGAACCTGTAAAAAAAATTAAATGCCAACAAATTTCACCTACATCATACACAACTTGGAGAAATAGAACTATTAAAACTATTACAACAACAAACATTTTATTTAATATCTGGGCATGCACTGTCAGACTATTAGTTACATGACACTAGGCAACAAAGGGTGGGGACTGTCAGCTCTTATTTAGGGAGCTTGTTGCACACTTTAAATATATAATGACAGAGCTGAAAAAATTAGTCATTATAAGGCATTAAACGGAGAATAAATGTGTCTATTTACAATAAATAAATATACAAAGAAAAAAGGGATGATATATTTACACAAATGATGAGTTGTGGGCACTGGTCAAGTAACTAGACAGTATAGAGAACACTGATCAATAAGTTAGCATTCTTGAGACCCATGGTGCTTTTGATTCCCAAATGAATGTGTATGGAAATGCTGAACAATACTGGAGTAAATTCTACAAAAGCCGCCACACATGTCCATTCAAAATATAATCAGAGAAAAAATTCTACAGTAATGTAAACATTCATTTAAAATAAAACAAGATTTATATGCATTCAGCTTGATCCAAGGCGATTTAATAGTTTTGTAAGCCTATACTATATTGCTAAACCCTTATATATCTATTAGGATTGTTTGTTAACGGGGTAAGAGAGGTAAGGGAAAGTCTTCTACATAATAACATGCCCACCACATATGAAGGATCTACTAGAGGTTAAAAGGAACACTGTAGGGTCAAGACCCTATAACCTCTATCTAGCCTCCATGGCCCTCCCTTTGCCCCTAAATATAGTAAAATCTTACTTGCATTCAAGTCTGCATCTGCTGGCTCTACACCTGACCTTACAGCTGACATCATCAAAAGTGATTCTGTGAGCCAATCACAATGCTTTCATATAGGATTGGCTGAGACTGTCAAGGAGGCAGATACGGGGCAGAGCCAGCACAAGTCAATCACAGCCCTGGTCAATCAGCATCTCCTCAGAAAGATCAATTGAATCAATGCATCTCTGTGAGGAAAGTTTAATGTCTGCATGCAGAGGGTCGAGACACTGAATGGCAGTACTACACACTATACAGCACTTCCCCAGGAAGCATATCTAGCAGCCATCCAAGGAGTAGTCCATGGAGGTATCCCTAAGCTGTAATGTAAACACTGCATGTTCTCTGAAAAGACAGTGTTTACTGTAAAAAGCCTGAAGGGAATGATTCTACTCACCAGAACAAATACAATAAGCTGTAGTTGTTCTGGTGACTAGAGTGTCCCTTTAACATTTTTAAATGCTAATTATAGTTGACATTAGCAATACATGCTATCTTTGGTTGTTTTTGTGAGATTCCACTTTTTTCTTCATAGTCAATTTATAAATCACCTCTCATTATTCAAATCAACACTAGTTTGTTCAGGGTTTCTTCTTTAAGGAAACAAAAAATAAAACAAATTGGATTGTTACATACCTAATGTAAGTATTAGTTTTAATTTCTCATTAATTCCCAAATTCTGAAATAACTTCCTTCCCTGCCACAAGAAAAAAATAACAATAAACAAATCACTCACGCATAACATTTAGGTAAAAGAAGAGAATTCCATGTCATCTTGTATTTAGACTAAAATATTTACTAAAGTGATAATTATCATGAATTCAAAGTGAATTTTATATTTAAGGCCAAAGAAGCTGATCTAGAAGCAAAGGTGACTTTTTTTTTTCTAATTCAGCTATTTTGGCCTTAAGAATGAGAATTACTTTGAATTTCTCACAATTCTCACTTTAGTGAATAACCCTGATAGAATATGATTCATGTACACTGAACGTTTCATAAGAATCTAGTGTCAAGTGTAAAGAATAAAGAAAAAACACTGATCCACATTGCATTGCAAGAATGTAACAATAGCAGGAGCAAGATAAGATAAATAATGGTACACGGTTAAAATAATCTTACAAACTAAACCATCCTAGCCCAATAATTATTGCTGCCCAGTTGCTAATTTAAGAAAAGGGAACCTGGCACAGATCCACCATGTCCTAATGATCAGGCACCTTATAAAATAATTAACTTGGGGGACAATGGGAAGCCATTTAAACTAATGGGGTTCTCCTCCTAAATAAAATAAAGGTGGTACTGACGGTGCTCTCATTCCAAAAGCCAAGTCTTTTAAAATAAATAGACCTCATGTCAACCCCCACCAATTGACGGCAGGTAAAGGTTCTAAGTAACAAAGGGGACTACACCCACCCCCCACCTCGTTGGTGCGATTAAGGCTCCTAAATAATGAGATGGGGTAAATTTACTGTCCCCAAGCAGCTACCACCTATTGGCGGCAGGTGGGGGCCCAAAGTAATAAAGTTGGTTGTGGACCTATTGTTCCCTAATCCCCCACCCATTGGTGTTGGGTTAGGACCCTAAATAATAAGAAGGCTGGATCAATTGTCATTTTTCAGACAAATGGACAAATTGAATGAAAATTATGATGAAAAAGTCTTCATCAGAAATCGAGTGGGATATACAATATAATCTTGAGGAACCATGATGGTAAGCCTATAGTTGAAAGTGTGTAGCCTGTCCTTATAATTATTGTAAACATAGCTAACTTTACATGAGGTCTGAGCTACATTGTTTACAGTTGGGAACACCTATAAAGACTGGCAACATAGTTGTACAGTAGCAAATTACTTAGTAACTAAGTGATCCCTTGCAAGATTACATAACTTTTTAGGAGATCTTCATTAATGTAATATGTATTGTAATTGAATTAAATAAAAATGTTCATATTTTTTTTTTTTTTAAACGTTGTACCAGAAAATACAACCCCCAAATGATTTCTGAAGAACACCTCACTTAAAAAAAAAAATTTAAAAAAAACAATAGCTTAGTCTTCAAACTAAAAGAAATTGGTCTAGATGATTATTCTTGTTCTTGGGTAGAACATTGGCTTAAGGATAGAGTATAACGAGTTGTCATTAACGTTAAATTTTCAGGCTGGACAAAGGTGGTAAGTGGTGTCCCTCACTGTTCTGTTTTGGGACCGCTTCTATTTAACATATTTATAAATGGTCTTGAAATAGGCATTGAAAGCCATGTTTCAGTGTTTGCGGATGACACAAAACTTTGTAAAGTAATAAAATGTGAGAAGGATATTGCTTTGCTGCAGAGGGATTTGGATAGATTTGGGGACTGGCAACTAAAATGGCAGATGAAATTTAATGTAGAAAAATGCAAAGTTATGCACTTTGGGGTCAAGAATGCACAAGCAATTTACACCCTAAATGGTAGTGAATTAGGGATAACCACAGGGATAACCACACACGAGAAGGATTTGGGAATTGTTATAGACAACAAATTAGGCAGCAATATGCAATGTCTATCTGCAGTTGCTAAGGCCAATGAGGTTTTGTCATGCATAAATAGGGGCATAAATTCTCTGGATGAAAATATAATTTTGCCTCTTTATAATTCGCTGGTAAGACCACGCCTTGAATATGCTGTGCAATTTTGGGCACCTGTTCTAAAGAAGAGTATTATGGCACTGGAAAAAGTGCAGAGACGAGCTACAAAATTGATAAAAGGAACATACAGGGATATCATTTCTAATTAGTGGGGTAATAGCTGCTTGATCCAAGGAGACATCTGACTGCTATTTTGGGGTCAAGAATAATTTCTTTCTAGTTTGTTGCAAAATTGGAAGAGCCTCAGACTAGGTTTTTTGCTTTCTTTTGGATCAACAGCAAAAACATAATTATGTAACTCACAATTGACTAAGGCATTCCACAGGAGTAGAGAGTGGAGCAATTTACCATTGTTTGGGACTCCCAAAATATTCCCATGCATGACACCCCCACTACCTTATTACAGTAACTGGTAAATAAATCTAAGTTGGTTACAATGCATATTACCTGTTTATGTACATACCACACAAAGCTCAAACATTATCACACCCAATGACCAAATATCGGATTTAGGACCAGAAGGCAGAGGTCTCTCATGTTGAGTGGGGTCAGTTGGCTTCAAAATTCCTTTGGCAATCACCTCTGGTGCAAGGTATGAGGGGTAGCTACAACAGTAAAAATATGGTAATACAGTAACAGAGTCTGGAGTTTTGTGATTGGCAGAAGTTATTTATGACCCAGAACTCTTCAAAGCTTGTTCCTAATTGAGTGACCATAAAGCTTCATAACATTGTGCAAACATTTTTTTGTGCAGTAATGTATAGGGTCTTTGGGATGGAGAACAGTGAGTATGCACTCAAATGAACCATTACAAGTTCTCCTATATTTTGATTTCAATTAATTTGTTTCTGTTTTTATTTACTTTTAGTTAATAAGCATTTATATTACAATGTTTCATACAGAATAGGTAAATTCATTAATAATAAAGACAACACATTGTAAAAGCATAGATAATAAATCTAGCTGGTAAACATAAATAATAGCTAAAATGGTAATTAAAATGCCAACAGGAAGGGTGTGGGATTACAGATTTACATAGATAAAATGATGCTTGGGTTGAGGGGATAAATACCCTAAGAAGAAGAAAAAAACCAAGAAGATTTCTTATAGTATGCTGAGAAATGACAGGGTAGGATGGGAAAATGAAATGGTGTAGAATGGAGGAGATTAAAGTATGTGTGTTTGGAAGTATCTGTAAGCTTTAACCACACAGAACAGACTCAAGCTGTGTGCATATCTTGCTGTGTGTAACTGTATATGTTTGGCAATATGGATCTGTGTATGTAGAAATGTATAAACTGGGTGTATGCCTTGCAGATTGTATCTGTGTGTACCCATGTATTAGCATTGTATACATGTGTGTCTCTGTGAGTACGTGTGAACACATTTTTAAGAGTGTATGTTGGGCAAGGAGGCAGCCATTTGTTGTTTCTGATGGCACTCCCTTGAATATCCATTTAGTTATGTAACAGAAGAAGACTCAGCCGCCCAGCCCAATATATCAGCAAATAACAGAAAAGTATGGTCCTGTGAGGCCTACCATGGCTGGGATCAACCTATACTATGATAAAATCTGACTGAGCCAGGTTGATAACAAGTTTGCACACTCCAGAGGTTTTTTGTGCATCAATGAGTCTCTCAAGATATTTAACAAGGTTCTATAGTTGGAATGTTCTATGTGGCTGATTGAAAGAAACTACCTTTGAATATAGGGAAGCCATTTCCCCTTGTAAGGATGCATGATGCTTGTGCCAACATTGCTAGCCTTGCTCTGAAGAAGTCCATTGCAAGACACATTGGTGTTTACATCCTGTTGTGTCCCAGGGGCAAAACTTTTTTTTCCACAACAGTAGCTCTCTAAGCTAGTTAGGTGAATGCCCACTCACCATCAAGGACACTCACCAACCAAGAACCTAATGACTGAAACATCACTTTATATTGATGCCAGTTTAACAGCGATGTCTGCAGGATAAATTGTGCATATCACTTGGAACATTTCTTACAGGGATGGGAGAGTCTGCATCTATCGCTTTTTATCTTGGAGATTTAGCATTATCTACTCAGGTTCCTCTCACGTATTTTCCAGTTTGGCTTTTATACACACTGGGCATAGTGCCTTGGTTAGCTGACAGTGCTTACTCTTCAACTCTTGATATTCTGTCCAGATGTTATTATTGTGTTTTCTACTCCCCACACATTTACCCTTTTTTTTAGCTGTGATTTTATTTATTCATCAAGATTTTATGTACATTTTTAGGCAACCTTTTTTAAAGTTTGGTTTCAATCAATAAATGTTTTATTAGCATTTTCATACTTTGTGCGGTGGTTCCATTTGTGTCATATCACATTTTATTTTTTGTCAACTTAGTTTTGTTCTCTCTCAAAAACAAAATGTATTCTTGATTGATTTTTTATTTATTTTTTTTATAAATTTTCAGTGAAAGAGGCATATACAATTAAGAATTGCTAAGAAGTTACAAATATTAGAAATTGATAACACTGCAAGAAAACCAAAATATTATTACAAAGGCAGAGAAAAAGAGAAATGAACAAGAAAAAGCGCAAAGAGAACAGAGAAAAAGGATGGAGTTGGAGGCAAAGGGCAGGCAATAATAGAATGAAGGCCTAATATTTCTAAGGTGCAATCCAGCACTGGTGTCCAGAGTTTTATAGAAGGAGGCAGACGTGTGATGAATAATAGCATGTTTTTAGTGAAATAATTAGCTACTTTTTGCCAGATATATTCAATCAAATCATTATCATGTAATAAAGTAGAGTTAAGCCTCCATGTTCATGGATGGGTATAGTGTTCTAAGAGTAACTCAATAGCAAGGTCAGTGTGGTCTGATCAAATAATGGATTCGATGCATGATTGAAATACATCAGAAAATCTATTGCCTTTCAAAATTTGATGAAAGGATTATTATTTAAAAAATAATTTTAAGGTGACAGTTGTCCTTAAAGCTAAATTAAATAAAACAAATCAAATGATTTGTGGACCCAGGACATACTTGAAAACGAGAGAAATCTCAATGTATCTTTCCTGGTAAAATATTTTATAAATAAATAAATGAGGGAACACATTAGGGGGCAAGTAGGTGAGCAAGAAAAAAAAAAAAACATTTTGCCCTATCCATATTGAACAGCATAAGAACACACACAAAAAGTGTAATGTAACTATATACATGAATAGGCCATACAGGGGCTATCCAGTGTTGCCTTGAAGAAGTTTATTCTTAAAAGTCTCTAATTAAAATAAAGATGCAGTTGCCCTAGATATCTCTAGAACACACTAAACCAGTTTATGACAACTGAAACAAGTAGATTCTGATGCCTTAGGCCATTCTTTTTCCCAGTAGGTATAAAAATTTAAGCTGGGATTGAATACTATAAATCCTATTAGACCTTATTAGACATTTAATATATTAGTGGGTTTGTTGCCAAGAAAGTTTCCTCAATTCCAATAATATTTCAAATGAATGTTAAAGTGATCCCCATATATTTATAGTGTCAATACAGATCATTTTTTTTTTCCCAATAAGAACATCAGAAGTGATAAATATATGTAGCTGTGTTTTGTAATTTATTACATATCTGCAGTGTCTTCTAGTTGAGTAGTGGGCTAACTGTGCCACCTACAGGTCAGTCGTGATAGTACATGGAGGAAACAGAAACATTCCTTACCCGATAGGGAAATCAACATCTGCTCCGTGATCTGTTATATGATAAAGTCCAAATTTAGCAAGTTTCACGTGACCCTGAAATAATCACATGCCTGAATTAGTGAAGGTAAAAAGATGTGACATTGAAGCAAATCAGGCTCTCCTGAAACCTGGCATTATTCGGTCATGACAAACAAATTTAATTTAGAAAGTACATTTTGAAAGGCTTAGATATAAAATATAATACAAAACAGACATAGATAGACAGGCAGACAGACAGACAGATAGATACATACATACATAGATAAATAGATGTTTATCTCAAGCTGGACTTTGGAAAGTCCATCTTAGGGTGTTTGGTCTCACAACACAGAGAGAGTGCGTACGTTTTCCTTGGTTTGTAGATATCTATGCAGGAGGCATTAAAATAATTGTTTTGAATAACATTTTTAAAAAATTAAAAAGAATCTTACATTTTATTGGTCAGTACTGTCACTGGAATCTTTACAGATTTTTTTACCTGAAGATTCTGGCAAATGATCTAGAGCAGGGGTAGCAAACCTTTGGCACTCCAGATGTTGTGGACTACATCCCCCATAATGCTCTTACACCCATAATGCTGGCAAACCATCATGGGAAGTGTAGTCCAAAACATCTGGAGTGCCGCAGGTTGCCTATACCTGATCTATAGTATTAGGGGTAACCCTGAACAAAAAGTGGTTGGAAGACACTGGGTAAAAGACAGGAGCACTTAACCAATTGATAGAATAATGGTGTTAGATGGTATATCTGGCTGCATTAGGGTGTAGGTAAAAAGCTGTTACACTCGGATAAAGTAATGTCTAACCATCAACATGAAAAGTATAGAGCTTTCTTGTTTAAAGAGACACTAACAACCAAAGTACATTCAGCTCAATTAAGTAGTTTTGGTGTAATGATCATATCCCTGCAGTCTCATTGCTCAATTCTCTGCCATTTAGGAGGTAAATCACATTGTTTATGCAGGTCTAGTCATGTCTACTGTGGCTGAGACTAACACATAATCTCTCTACACTGTTCCTGGAAAAAGAAAAGGTCTACATTTTTAGCTTCCCTTAGTGCATATTGTGTTTAATTTAGAATTTTGTATCTTCTGCTCTACTAATAGACTGCCAGAGTCTACAGGAGGGTATTAAAGTTCAATTAACAAAGCAGATACCATAAATAGAAAGGAGGTCCAGGCAGTCCAACAGCTTCAGGTGAATTTATTAGAACAAAAAGTACACAGCAACGTTTCGGCCCACAGATGGATCTTTGTCTATCTGTAAATTTTTTGAAGCTGTTGGAGTGCCTTGGCCTCCTTTCTATTACTGGTATCTACATCTCATGGCACAGTGCTCGCCCATAGTCAAGTTCAGCACCCTTGGCTTTTATGTGGATTGAGTGCAGCTCCTATGAACATATAACAATTAACAAAGCAGGGCATAAGAACCACACACAGCAAGTGAATCCCAACTAAGGCTGCATAAACTGAAACAAAAGTGATTTAATGGCAAACAATTTAGCAGTGAGAATAAATAGGCATAATCTATACATGAAAGATGCTGCATTAATATAAGGTTGTTTGATGCTTAGAGTATCCCTTTAACAATGATAGTTTGGGCTATTAGTTTTATTATATTCAAGTTTATAATTACATATATCTTTGTTTGGTAAACACTTACCTCTCCATCTAAAAGAATGTTGTGAGGAGCCAGAGCTCTATGGACCATTCTGTGACAATTCATATATTCTAGGCCTTGTAAAACTTCAAAAGCAAGGTGCATGGTCTTTGAAGGGCTGGAAATACAGACATTGTTGTATGAGTTCATACTCTTTACTTGCAACACGTTTTTATTCCTAAAACTAAAAACATAGGTTTAATACAACAGGTATACACAAATGTACCATATAAGCCTTAGATAAATGACAGAAACCATCTGAAACACATACAGCTGTATTTACTAAATTCCACATTTTGGCAATTATTTAGTTATTCAGTAAAGTTAGAATTCAAAGTAATTTCAAATTTGAGGTCAAAATAGTCAAATTGAAAAAAGTCAGCTCATTGAAGTAGTCTGGGTGCAGCGTCCCAGTCCTGAAATTTAAATCATTGCAGTTTTTGAGACTACTTTGCAGGACTAAGACAGCCACTAGAGGCAGTTCCTGGTGTCTAGGGAACTTTAGGTCGCCTAACTGACGCTTTACATTCTCACACTCTGCATGAGGACATTCAGTGTCAAGTTAAATCCCCATAGGAAAGCATTGATTCAAGGAGATGTTCTATAAGGGACAAATATATGAATGTGGGCTGCAAAGGGGGGTATGTATCTGAAAGGAGGACCTGCTCAGTTCATAGCCCGGTGCTTACATCCTGATTCACAGATCTCAACAGTGATTCCACAGAGGCTTTTGTCCTACAGCTACACAGACACTTTAGTGACAAACAACTTTGGGGGGGGGGCCTGATCTAACCTTATGGCAACTTCCCATCGGTGACAATTCTTTTACCTTAAAGGAAAACTATAGTGCTGAAATGGCTGTATAGGTGTCCGATCCCCTACAGATTGTATTGCTTAACGCCAGTCTTCAAACGGCTGGCCCCACCTCCACGGCTGGGATCATTAACCTTTTCCACAGGAAAGCATTGGGGGCCTAGCGCACATGTGCGGCAAAACACTGCATCAATCAGCATCACCTGTTAGAGATCCATCAATTCAATGAATCTCTATGGGAAATGTTCAGTGTTTGAATGCAGAGAGTGGCAACAATGAAGATAGGAAGCACCTCTAGAGGCTGTCTGAGTGCATGCCACCAGAGGTGTTACTAAGCACCAATGGAAACACTGTCTTTTTTACAGAAAAGGAATCGTCTACATTGAAAAGCAAAACAAAAAAAACTTTTGAGAGTGCCCTATATTTTAACAATAAAAACAACAATTGCAATGCACACTATTATTAACACCTATTTCAAAAACATAGGGAAAAAAAGTGGGGACAAAAAAAAGATAAAGAAAAGGTGAAAGACCGAACTTCCGAAATCAAACACATGGTGGCAGCAGTTTACTATAAAACAGTTTTTACATCATGAAATTAAGTTCACAGTAAAAAAATGTCACAGGCACATTCAGTTCCTCACTACTTACAAATATATATATATTTTTTTGTTAATGACCAAACTTTGGTATTTTATGCTCAAATGTTCATTCATGCTCAAATTATTATTGGCAATATTGACAATTTACTTGTAACCACTAAACTGTCAGTAATACTGTGGTATAGAGCCCAGCATATTTGACATTCTATATAGAGCATTTATTCCTGAGCTGGATAATCCCCTTGCACAATCTTCATGCTTCATATACCACCACATCATGACGCATGGAACATTAAAGTGAGCATGTTCTAAAAGGTGTAATTATTCTAAATGCTTTTATTTTTCAAGTGGCGAAAATTTCTACATAGCTGTACAACGTAGATAAACAGGTGGAGATTGAAGACAGCACAATACGTACATAGTCAAAAAGTTATAAAGGGAAACAAGAGCCTTGCCTGTGAACCTAAAATTTGGAATAGCTAAAATAATGACATTTCTTGTGCTTGTATGATACAGGTATGGCAGCTTGCACTTCCCACACCAGAATCTCTTCTTTCTGGCTGTAAGTAGATACTGTATAGGAAGGGGGTGCAGGGAAGCAGCACTTTCATAGTGTCATCAAATCCATGTAGGAGTGAAGCAATATGAAACATAAGAGGGAGGACAAGAGGATAGAATATAGTGTAGTATTTTTGGTAACTAGTGACTTAGATAGGAATAATACAATTTTCTGGAACTTATCATCAGCTCCAGATATGGGCGTCTGGACCATACAATCACTGCCTATGGATATGTAGATGGTCTCGGTCCTTTGTTGGATTTGTATGGTAAGTGTTTGGGAGTGTTCTCCTGCAGAGTGCAGTGTTGTAGCAGTAAAAAATGACCGGTATATGGAATTTAGATAAAACAGAATATTGTGCTCTTTGTATAGCTGAAAAAAATAATAATAAAATAAGGTATTTCTACTGCTACAACACTGCACACTGATGGAGAACACTCCCAAATGCTTATCATCAAAAGCTACTTACTGGCCTGGAACATTATCCAACAAAGGACCAAGACCAAGACTATCAACAGATAGTTCCATGTATCTAGAGCTGAGTTATAAAAAAAAAAAAAAAAAACTACACTATATTCCGTCCTCTTTTCTTTCATATTGCTTCACATCTACACAGATTTGATGATACTCTGAAGGCGCTGCTTCCCCGCACCCCCTTCCTAAAAATTTTAATGTTTTACACTTTAATCTTCTTAAAGCAGGATTCAATGCTTCTCTGTGAGAAGCATCTATTAAGTGGAAGGTGGAGAAGCACTCAAAGATCAAAGATTGGGTGCTGTAGTGTGACCTGGACATTTTGTTTTAATTTTACAGTTGGGCCCAATAATATAATTGGTTACAAAATGTCTAATGTTATAAAAATATTTATTCATATACATTTTAAGTGTACCTTTAATAATGTGTGTGCTAATGTTTTTTTGAAATTGAGTAATGATTTCCATTTTATATTTAATTAAATTCTAAATGTGTGGTCTAAACGCTAGCTATCAACAGAGAACACCCAGTCTCTGCCAGCCATTTACTATGTTTTTGTCCAAAACAAAAGGTTTTAGGAAATTGTAGTTTATTAACAGATGGATATCTATATTAAACTACCCCACCCCAATATACATATCTCGGAAAAATACATTGATGGAAAATTCCCACAAATAGAAAACAGAATGAGCTATTTCCCAAGCTTACACATGGTTGCGGGAATGTCGGTGTTCTATGAAGCACAATAACTACACTAACCAAGCAGTAATTATTTAGAAATGAAAAGTGGGTGGAAAAAACAAATGTAAGCTTCTTGGAAGGTGAATTAAAAGTTCCAAGACTAGTCATCATAACATCCTGTACTTGCCTATTCCAAGGAGATCATACAGGACAATGGAGCATCAAACTAAATATTGGCGAGATTATGATAGGTGTGGGATGTCTGCCTCGAGTCCGATGATAGTTTAAAAGTTAAAATACTATCTATTTGTTACAGGAAAGTTAATTTGTAGATTTTTTTTTGATTTTTTTTTTAAAGAAAATTAGTCAGTCATGGTAAATGGATGTTTGGTTGGTATTTTGTTTTAAAAAGAAATAAAATATAAAAATTTTAACATGCAAGGGTTATTGTCAAGGAGAGCAAATATTTTTTCTGATGAAGGATGATCATGACAAGTGCGCAGTAAGGATCTCCTACACACAAAAGGAGGGGAGCGGACACCACGCAGTACTAGAATGTGGGTGTTCCATACGTTTTTAATAAACTGAATATGGAGATAAATAAAATGAACGGAAGAAAATGATTTCAGTAATTCCTCTTTAATATAGCATTAGTGGCTTCACTGTTACAATCACATCTGCCCTAACTTAGGGATTTCTATCTGCTAGTTTGATGAGGAGATGTAGACCACCATGTTCTAATAAAGTATATGTAGGAAGCCAAATCAATTCCTATTTTAAGAGCATCCAGGTGATGCTAACAGGGATCCAATCATGGGCCTGTCCAGTTTCATGGGACAAGTATTCAGCAGGTGGCCTTCAATAAAGATCTATCGCTAATGCATTCTGGGTAATGTATATGGAGTCAATATTAAACACATGTGCATTGTATTTGCTCAGATTAATGTTTATTTCACTGGAGTGTCAGTAATAGAGACAAATACACACACCGTAATATGTTAAATATGTCAAAGCATTTTCCTCTTAGCGAAAATACCACATAATAACAAACCGTGTTTTGTTCCAAGCATAACCCTTTGAATACCAGTGAGCAGTAAGAAACACTGGCGATTTTGAGGAAATAAAGGCTTAAAGGGACGCGCTTACAAGAGGCAGAATTAATGAGGATGAAGTCTCACCGGAGCCTGCAAGCAGTGGGTGATGGCCATAAGGTGGCCCTTCCACCTGACCTCTGATCAGAGTGACCAAGCCCCTGTCAGACCAACAGTGCTGGGAAGAAGTGGGTTCAGGTCACTTTCTCCCAGTTTACAGAGTGTGCTGCGCGGGTTTGGAATAGGCACACAGTGGAGGGGGTCTCAGCCGGGGAAGCCCCCCACCTGCACCAAAAAGTATGGAAACAGAAGGCTGGCTATAAATATAAAATGTATAACTATCTATGTACACATACCGTACACTGTGTAGAAACAAACACAGATATATACACAAACATATACGTGTGTGGGATAAAAAACAAATTTTCCCACCCTTCCTTGGTGGTATATTTATTTCTCATTCTCGGGTCCTCTACCAGAGGCTTGGAAGTCTAAGGGTTCTGCGCAGTATCTTAGCTGTTTCTAGAACTGCACTCTTCTGGACAACAATCTCAGATGTCATACCTGGAATCTGTTGAAGTCGTTTCCCCAACTAGGAAGTCACAGCCCCGAGTGCCCCTATCACAACTGGGACTACTACTGCCTTCACTTTCCACATCTTTACTAGCTCTTCTTTCAGTCCTTGGTATTTGTCCATCTTCTCATGTTCCATCTTCCTGAGGTTATAGTCACGTGGTATTGCCACATCCACCACCAATGCAAACAGCTATACTACATACAAATACACCCCTTCATTCAACCGCCAAAATGGCATACAAACACAGATTGCATTTAAACACCAAAATCACACACAAGTACGTACCTATATATACACACACACTTACTACATACACACATGCTTACATTCAAGCACACAGACACTACTCATAAATACAGCCCTGCAAGCTAGGGCAAGTGATAGATCCCCAGCTGGTAAAGCATCATGATACGACAATTAATGATCTACCCTTTGGCAACCCTACTCTTCAGAAAGGCCCTAAACATTTCTTGCACTAGAGCCCTCTCTGAATTAGTTCAGTCTCTACCATACCAACTACTGTGCAGTTTCTAATGCAAGCAGAAAGTGCTAGGCTACTATCCTGCTAGCACCATAACCAATACAAAGGCTGGAGTTCTTATGGTGCTTGGAGCACCTTTTATGATCAAACGCTTTTGAAATATCAGCAAACTTTCACAGCAAAAAGTTTTAAAAAAAGAGGAGTTTTGTGATATATCTTTGACTGAAGCACTAGACCGGTTGCACAAAACATCAACTTTTCAGTCCTGCTTAAGGACTTTTATAAAATAAAAAAACAAAAAAAGTTTTGTGCAACCATAATAAAGACGGGCAAACATATATTGCAAAAAGTCCTTTAAGTGCTCTCCTCTTTTTATTTTTATTTTGTACGTTTTGTTGTGTCTAAGAAGGTTTTATAGAACAGAAAAACTAGAAATAACATTTAAGAAATAAATAAGGAATTATATTAACAAGGGTCTGCAGGCTCTAATGTTTCAGGGCGTGTGTGTTTATGTACTTAAATCACGTAGAAGTAACTAGACGTAATTTAAAATTCTGCAAATCAATCAAGAAAGGATGGGTGGATGAGTTAATATTCAAATTAATGACTAATGACATCTGGACATGTCCAATTACTTGGGTACATTAAAGGGAAAATATAGTAATATACAGTTTTATGTAGTTGTTCTGGTGAGTATAGTAAGTCACGGCAGACATTTTAATGGGAACACTGCCTTTACATTGCTCCCTAGGAGCACCTCCAGAAGCAGTTACTCAGACGGTCACTAGAGGTGCTTCCACGCTCTGCATGGAGGCGCTGAACTTTCCTCATATAGATGCACTGATTCAATGTATCTTTATAAGGAGATGCAGATTGGCTAGCAAGGCATTTGGCTTTCCCCCCTGCTCCACCTCCTTGGCTGAGACAATCAGAATTGACAATCTCAGGCAATCCAATACTTTGCAATGGGAAAGCACTGGACTGGTTGAGATGATCAATTCTGATGATGTCAGGCAAGGAGGCAGGGCATTGGAATAAAGGTGAGTTTTTATCCTATTTAAAGGGGGCAAAGTGGGTTCAGCAACCTAAATAGTTTTTGTTTTGTTTTTTAACACTTTAGAGTCAGGGTGCACATTTGTATTCCTGAACCTATAGTGTTCCTTTAATGAGAGAGTGACATGTCTTCTCAAGTACTGTTTGGGTTATATACCAGAACAGGGGGGTAGACAACCTTCGGCACGCCAGATGTTAAACACTATATCTCCCATGACACTCCTACAGCCATAATGCTGACAAATAGGAGATGTACCAGATAAAATCTACTAGGAAATAGTAGAGATAACTAGCATGGTTGGTGATAAATAGACCATTGTTTAGTAGTGTATGTAAAGGCTTTTATTTCCTCACTCTTCATCTCAACACTCCCCCATTCACTAATCCCTTGCTATCACCATCTGACCATTGCGTGAATTGTGATAAGAATTGCAGATTGAGTGCATCTGCAGTGAACAGCAAAAGGCTAAATTATGGAGTTAATTGTATCTTATAATAAATTGAGCAGTTAGGAGGATTTGTTATATTACTCATTTAGACAACATTTTTTCTTAATTACTCCTTTTACCCTTTTCCATTCTAGATTCTCTCATATTCTCTCCTCCCCATAAAAGACCAAAATTAAATGCATAGATATGTTTTGTTTTATTATTTTGGACAAATCTCAAAAAAATCCATTTGATTTCAATTATATGGAGTATTATTTGTGCTTGCAGTAAAAGATATTAAAAAGAAACTGTTAGTGAACTCCACCGTTCTTTAGACTGGGTGCCAGACTCGTACTAATGCCTATTTTATTTCACGCTACATTTTGATCGGTAAGATTTTGTTTCTTGTTGACTTTTAACACTAGACATAAAATGAGGCACTTTTTAAAGATATTAACTATATTGCCAATAACTACAGCTGGTGTATGTTATATACTCTCCAATGTAATCCCTAACAATCAGGAAACCAATTGTTACAAGTTATAAGGTATGTTTGATACATTATTTGTGATTCCCAAGCAAATATGAAATTGTTCCATAAGAATGGATGGTGAGAAAAATGTCAGAATATCAAAGCTTGATAAAACCCTGTAACCTATTGATGTAACCCATGCACAAGTCTGAAATATATCCCCCTGGGCCTTTAAGGCTACAAAGATATGTTCATTTCAGAAGTTATCTCTTTGGTCAATTATTTAAAGGACCACTATAGGCACCCAGGCCACTTCAGCTTAATGAAGTGGTCTGGGTGCCTGGTCCATCTAGGGTTAACCCTTTTTTCTATAAACATAGCAGGTTCGGAGAAACTGCTATGTTTATATTAGGGTTAATCCAGCCTCTAGTGGCTGTCTCTTGACGACAGCGTCCATAGGAAAGCATTGTGAATGCTTTCCTATGAGACTGGCTGAATGCGCGCGCGGCTTCTGCCGCGCATGTGCATTCAGCCGAAGAGGAGGAGAGGAGGTGGAGAGCTCCCCGCCCGGCGCTGGAGAAAGAGGTAAGTTTAAGCCCTTCCTCCCCCCAGAGGCCGACGGGAGGGGGACCCTGAGGGTGGGAGCACTATAGTGCCCGGAAAACGAGTATGTTTTCCTGGCACTATAGTGGTCCTTTAATCACTAAGGAGGATAATGCACATCATTGGTGTTCCCTAGTGTTGTATATGTATACAGAGACTTTTTTTGTATCTGCAAAAACCTTGGTCGTTTCGGATAAATTAAAAGATATCTATAGTACTTATAATGTTAATTAACAGTTTATGTATGGCTCTCCCTTTGAAATGTCCATTATTTTCTACAATCTGCAACATGGTCTTCACAAATTTTTCAGCTGCATGTATATGCATTTATACTACATGGCTCCACATTCTTAGGTAATTTCATTAATGAAAAAACAAGAATTAAGTTACCCTGCATGCTAACAGAAGCAGAAGCAGTTTCCATAAAAAGTTTTATTGTGAATGTAGCTCCTGGTGAACATGCAGACATGTTTCTTTACAGACTCGTAAAAATCTAAGAGAGAGCTGGCATAATTCACTTGACATATTTGTACCCCATATAATATCTTGGACAGATTCTAGATTATGACCGGGACTGCAGTGTGGACCCAGACCAATAATTAAAGGTTGGTGGACAAAGAGGTTCCCAAGTGGTGATGCCCTATATGTTTTCACCCTCTCTTTTTTTTCTAAAATGTTTCCCTACTACATCAGCACCTTTTAGACTCATCTAGGTAACCTGCCAAGCTGATGTTATTGAGGTTCTGCTTCTACATGTTTCATGTACCTAGCTCGGCACCGGTGAAAATTGTATTGCTACACTGCGCAGCCTCAATCTTGTGGTAAAACTGGATGAGACTATTGCCTTGCTATGTCTGAGGTTTAATTTCTCAACATACAAACTAAGCATTCGTTCTGCTGAATGAAGACATCTAATCTTCAATTGTGGTAAAGGATCTTCTCTACTTCTGTACTTTTTACCGATCTTTGTATACTCTATTGTGCAAACCATTTATTAAAAATAAAATTCAAACTACAAATTGTAGGCAAAAATAGTCTGTGACTATAGCAGAGTTAAAGAATATTTCCATATCAGCTATTTTTGCTTTAATTTTGCCAGATGTGTTTGGCTTCAGTGGTTCAAAGTGTTCATTTTAGCACTTATCGAATAAGTGGTGGATCTCATCAATGAAGACTTGATGGTGGCTAATCCAGAAAAAAACAGGAGATGCACTGAAAATGTGTATTTATTTCTATGTATTCTTTATAAAACAATACCCTGATGGGTCATATAATAAATAATAGTTTATTTGCAATAATAAAAAATGACAGGTTTAACATACGACACCAACTGTCCACTGGAACATTAAAGGTAAAACACATTTTGAATACTCATTACTATGGAGATTTTTACATTATTGTAGGAAACATTTTACTATCCCAAACCTCCAAGAACATTATTAAGGAATATATTAGAGGAGACAGTTAAAAGTATTTTAAAGCATTGATGTGGTTTATACAAAGACAAGATTAGAATAACAGACAGATGCAAAACCCTGCAGTACCTAGGAGAAAATGTGGCCACATGAGGGTTAAAAAGCCATTGCTGGGTGGGAATATATATCTCATACCTAATAAAATCTCATGTGAGTCATTTTAAAATAAAGTCATTTAGGAAAGTCGCACAGCATAGTAATGATAAGACACTACAACATTCTGCCAGTGGAAACAAATAAAGCCCACACACCATATGTATGCTATGTTGAGATGAAGGCATTCACATTTAGAAATGTTACTAAAGATCACATGGATCTGGGTGGATTACAGAACAAATGACTAACTTCCATTACTAGTGAGATGTAAAATCAATCATTAGTGGGGCATGCCCAGAGCCAGGCCGGTAAAAAGGCTAAGCAGATGCAAGGTATCTGCAGTCAATCGTCTTTGAGCTTTTTAAGTATGAAGCTGAAATCTACTTTTATGTAGTTAAGAATTGTACTTTCAAAATATTGAACTTCTCTTTCCAAATGGGACTGATAGACAGACATATTTAAAAGTCCATTGTCAATTCCTAATAATCCCGATTAAACAAATAACCTTTAAAACCGTGAATAGTTGCAAACTTTAGGGAAAAATAACAATCTAACATTGGTAAGCTATTGAGAATATTTGAAGTTCTGTTTTGATACTTTCTGACTTTTGGACAGTGCAGCACATGAGTTTTTAACCCAATCACAGTCCAAAAATGTCATAACCTTTTTCATCTACTAACACAACCGAAGTTTCAAATGATTATCAACCTTAAAACTGGGCTTAATTTCAGTTGTCATTGCTGTGTGGTTCAATAAATCACACAAACTCCAGATCTGCACTTGGGGATTGCTAGGTTAATGACAAACAAAATAGATCCATCTTGAAAAGATCTGGCCTGCCCATTTGATTACTTTTTAAGAGCAGCTGTAAAGATAATAGAGGACATGTGTGTCATTAACCTATTGTTTTCCCATTGACAGATATGCATGTTTCTTTCAGCATGTTCAAATCGGAAATTTGGTGTATAGACTTCATGTGTACTTATGAAGTTAGCAATTTCACCTTGTAAGTTTGTTACAGTGCTAAATTTTCTTTATTTGCTTTGATTAAAGGAACACTTTAGTGTCAGGTATACAAAACGGTATTCCTAACAATAAAGTGTTCTCCGACCCCACCTCCACCACCAGCAAAAAAAGGTTTTACATTCATGTTATTCCAGCGCCGAGGTCCCTCAGTGCTTGCTCCGTCTCCTTCTCCTCCGATAAAAGTATCAAGAGGGAACCTACCGTTACACTTGTCTATAAATTGATCTTGTCTATAAGTCGAGTGCAGTTTTTGACCATCAATTGTGACTTGTGGCTAAGTCGAGGGTACACGTTCCCTTTTTTGTACCTTGTTTCGTCTGATATCCCCCTGCATTCTAATGGAATTTTTACTCTTTGGTTCAGTTACAGAACAGACTCGGTGTGGTGCCCCTTGTTAACACCTCATAATCACCGACCACCCCTGGCTGTTAACCACAAACAAGCATTCCCTGGGTGGCCACCATTCGTATATACAAGCGCACGTGTTCAAACAAACGTGGCCCCCAAACGCAGGCAGCGGTACATGGTCGTTGATGGTATGAATCTCTGAGTCGGCTACGCAAGCCAGCTTACCCTGTTGAAACTTGTACCCCTGCCCGTTTGACTTCCGGACAAGCTAGGAGAGCAGCGTTCGGGAGTCGACAGGTACAAAATTCTCTCGAAACTAGCACTGACCCGTGGATAAGTCGACTTTGCGCTTTAAAAAGCCGACTTAAAATTTCTCGACTTATACAGGAATATATACAGTAATGGGCATTAGCGGCGAGCACAGCACGCACATTAGGCCTTCTCCATAGGAAAACACTGATTTAATAATTCCTATGGGGATTTGAAGATGCTGAATGTCCTCATGTTTAGTTTCACATAGTCAAACTCTGTAAAAACAACAGAAAGCGCCGCTGGTGGCCGTCTGGTAGACAGCCACTAGAGGCAGTCTTAACCCTGCAATGGGTTAAGACTGCTTCTAGTGACTTTTTTCCCCTGAAACTGATATATTGTGGATGGTAGGGTTAAGGGGAAAGGGACAGTGCAGCCAGATCACTTCAATGAGATGAAAAGATCAGGGTGCCTATAGTGTCGCTTTAACGAGGAGTTTTCAGTAAAAAGTTTGTTGAAGTTGGTTGCAAATGTCATCATCTCAAGGAGGAGCTTTTAGTTTTATTTATGCACAACTTTATGACTTTTTCTGGGGTATAGTTGTTAGAAAAAAAGTATTCTTTACACAATCTATACATTGTGCTAGTGAAATTGCTAGCCAATGTAGATTTTGCTAAAAATCACCCCTCCTCTGAGTCACACTGTCGGCATAAACTTTATGGCAATTACTGCCTGCAAGAGAACACTTTTTCAGACATGGCTTCATTCAGGCTGTGCGCAGTGCTGGGAGGTGTTACCGTGCTTCCCAAAGAGGAGGTTGACACCCACAAAGATGAGCTGATGGCGGTGCTCGAGCAGTTGAACAGGAGGCGAGTATGGCGAATATTTTATTTGGAAGCTAGGAAGGGAACTAAACAGGATTAGCTAATGTTAAAATATGCATTAAATATTAACTTTAAAGAAAGTCAGTATTTTATTTTTTACATTTGTTCATGTAATCTTTATACCAACTCATTAATTATTTTTCTATACACATTTATTGAAATATTTTAAGAAATCCCTTGCCTACCTATCCCACTCACTCTTGCTGACTGACACCTTTTTGCATCCTTATGTGAGACTATCACTTATCCCATCCAATCTTCACTATTTTGATTGTAAAAATAACGGGCCTGCTGTGCCTACAGCATTTTCTGTCAGGAGATTTTGAAAGGCAACAGACGGTTGCAAAATAATGAGCATTGGATGGGATAATTGAGAGTCTGACCCCAGGTGGCAGTCAAGTGATAGCTTAAAAATTTTTTTTACTATACATGAATTAAAAACATAATGAGATGGTATATTATAACAACATTTATATTAAGATATTGAATATTTTTTGTGGAAGAGTGGTATTGTACGCTCTTCTAGATTGAGGGCCCTCTTGACCTCTTGTGACTGTCAATTATTTGCTGCTATATTACCATACAAATATTAAGCGTCATAAAATGTGCTGGTGCTATATAAATTATGCTAATAACTTTGGAAAGCTTGGCCATTTCCTAATGGCTTATTGGCAGCTGTTAACATTTCAATAATTATCAAATGTTAGATTGGAATGTGCCCCTATGTTCTCTGAAGGAGAGCTTTTTTTCTTTTTGATAATATATGCTCAGTTGACTTTTTGATGCAATTATGGCTTTGATTTAATATTTTTGGATACGTTTTTCAAATGATTTAATGTTTTTGGACACATTTAAAAAAACATTTTTTTCAAAATATTAAAATCTCAAAAATATATATCATATATCAAAAACAACATTTTTTTTTTCAAAATATTAAATCATTTGAAAGGTTTATCCAAAAATGTTAAATCATTTAAAAAGGTAAGCCAAAAAAAATAAATTAAGGGCCAATGTTTGTACAAACAGTGAGAGTAACCTGCTCGAAAAATCATGCTGATAAAAAGAAAATAATTTGTCCAGTCTATTGTCAAGTGATAAAGTTTTTAAAACTCCAGCATATTAAATAGATTTCAAAAAATATATTGTATTATAAACCTGCAAAACATCCATATTGGGGACGGAAGTTCGTGTTTAGGATCCAAATCCACCTGCCATACTTTTCCATCCCAGTGTCCTTTTTTTCTATCAGCTCAAACATTTTGATGTGCATATGGGTTTAAGAGAATTTTCAGGTAACAAATTGTATATTCATAAAATAGTGAATGCGTATGGAAATTATTTTATGTAAATGCAATAATTTTCTATTTTCTAAACAACATATAGAATACATAAATAGATATAGGAAGATTATCAAGTCATATGAAGAGTAACCATCCCCCAAAACAAATTTCTCTCTTTGGCTATATGACATTTTGGGTGGCTTACCTCTCAAACCAACTAGCCCATTACTTTTAGCCCACCATCCATCCACAGTAAGATGAGCTCACTAATGCAGCAGAAGATAGAAGCTGTTGCTGACAGGAGAGCACTGATATTTGTCAAACAACTCAAATGCAAACACAAACGAACAGACACAAACTCGAACACAAAATATTCTGAAAATAAGTACTAGTTGTGTGTGGATGCTATTGAGCAAATTAGTCTGTTTTAAAGGAATTCAAGTGAAAGCAAGCAATGGTTTCTGTTAAATGACACACTTAAATGTTATGATAAAAATTACAGCAATTCTTCACCGAATTTGACTGGCTACTTGGCAACCTATGGCTGATATATTTCTTTGAAAAAGTTAACTCATGTACCATTTAGTCAGGCCGGACATTCCATGCTGGGTTAACACTGACACATTACAGGTGCAGAAGGTGTTTTTTTGATCTTCTCTAGGTTCTGGCGGCTCTTGAGAAGACTAATCTACACAGCAGATGCTCAAACAGTGAATGGATTTAACATTTTGAAAAAAAAGAACATATCCCTAGAAAGCTCCCTGCCAGCTCACAACGTAGTTAGTCTGAAAGCAGAGATATTATTGCAGAGCACAAATAAGCAATACAATGCATTGTTAACAAAATTGGAGAAATAAAAAAAAAAAAAAATATATATATGTTGCCTACTTTTACAGTTGAGAGGTTCTCCACAAAGCACTGTTCTCACATTTCTTAAAATGAAACCTGTTTAGTTTCCTCTAAAAAAACACATGTGCATATCTAGCCACTCTCAAAACAGGAAAAAGAATGCTACACTGACATCCTTCAATTAGTAACAGGTAAAATAAGGTTTAATCAAACCTCCATTTTGGGGTTAATACTTTAGATTGTTGTTCTGAAGATAGAGAGGTGGTGCTTTTAATAAGGCTAACACTTTGAAAGCTATTCACTAAAGTTTATATTTTGGGGAATTCAAAGTAAAAACTTTAAGTCACTGTAGTCAAACTAAAATGAAGGCGGACTCAGAGACTTTTGCCAGTTTAGCTATTTTGGCCTACAATTTAAAATTCCCTTTACATTCAGTTTGGATTCCTGACAATTCACACATTAGTAAATTAAAGGAACACTATAGGGTCAGGAACACAAACATGTATTCCTAACCCTATAGTGTTCAAACCACCATCTAGCCCTCCTGAATATATAGTACAATCTTACTTGTATTCAAGTCTGCAGATGATTCCTCTGATCTGCCTGCTTAGCTAACATCATCACAAGTGATTCTCTGAGCCAATCACAATACTTTCCCACAGGATTGACTGAGCTTGTCAAGGAGGAAGATCAGGGGCAGAGCAAGTACAAGTCAAACACAGCCCAGGCCAATCAGCATCTCCTCATAGAGATGCATTAAATTAATGCATCTCTATGAGGAAAGTTCAGTGTCTGCATGCAGAGGGTGTAGACACTGAAGCCCCAGGAAGCACCTCTAGCAGCCAGATGAGGAGTGACCAGTGGAGTTATCACTAGGCTGTAATGCAAACACTGCATTTTCTCTGAAAAGAAAGTGTTAACTGCAAAAAGCCTGAAGGTAATAATTCTACTCACCAGAACAAATACAATAAGCTGTAATTGTTCTAGTGACTATAGTGTCCCTTTAAACTGTCAAAAAAAACAGGATGGAAGAGACGTAGAATTGATGTATAAAAAGGGGGGCAGAATACTTAGAAGTTTATAAAAAATCAAAAGGCTACATTTAACTATATTACAGATAAAAAAAATTTAAAAAAAAGTCTTCAAGCAAAACAAATTATAATTTGCATGCATTTGACAGGGCTGTGAGTTGTTAGAGCTTCACCTTTTAGACACATGAGAAAGAACCATTCCAGCCTAAGACTGCCCTGTCCTGAATAGGGTAACAAACAATAACTAATTTATCCTGGATAGGATTTACCAGTCCTTGCATAAGTGCAGTAATAATACTATATATTTTCTAAATATAATTTTAAAATCA